TAGAAAGCGCATCACCACGTTGCTGGGATTTTCCAAGGGGCACTGGGAGAGTGCCCAAGCTGCGCATGGGGATAAGCGGAATGCGGACGACTTGGCGCGGTGGAGGGGTCTGGCGAAGATTGGAATTCAGACGGATCGGAAGCTCCTAAGTGAGCAGGCGGAAATTATGGAGGATTTCCGCGGACCTGGTAATTTGAAGCCGATTGACATGGACTGGCCGACACTGTAGGCGGCAAGGGTGTTGATTATATGGTCGATCTTGTACATATAGGAATTTGTCGGACAACGGTTGATTGCATTATGTCTTAATGATTGCTTTTGAGTACTCTTGTGACCAGTGCAGTGCCTCCTTTGTCATTGTATGAAAAGGCGTGTGTCTGCTTATCCATTGACGCCCGTCGGCCTGCCCACAAAGGTAGCAAAACAAAAAAAGACTTTATCGGCTAGACTGGTAAGCCTTATCAAGATTTCTGGTCTCAAGATGTTTAGGAGTGACGCGTGAAAGGTTCGAGTCCACCCGAACATATGTAAATGAGCGGCACCCCTGTACAATTATGCGCATCGGCAGTGGCATCGTTGGACCCTTTGAACGGCACAGGATCTGGTTCGACTGTGCTTTTGAGGGATGAACCAACGTCTCGCTCTTCGAAGTGACAATCATGGTATGTCACGAATGCACCATGATAGCCACGGTATTGAGCAAGAAAGTTTGAACAGAAACCTGGTACATCGAGTGATGAGCATTCGATGGAGCCCAGTAGAAGGACTGTTTCGGCTGAACCATCGTGGATGGTATCATAGGATCGATCTTCGGTGGTGCGGTATAGATGTGTTCCGATATCAATTGTGCGCAGGCATTGATCTTGTTAGCCAAGACCCTCATCAGCCGTCTTGGCTAGAAGACGAGCTCCCAGAAGAAGGTGCCTGGATGCAAACAAGCTCAATCATAATGTCATCCTTCCCGTGCAGGAAATAGCTGTTGGAAGACGGGGCTCGGCTAAGAATGGCAACCGCAACCTGCTCGGCTTGTTTACTGGACGTCATATTATCAATGAACCACGTCTTCCATGGGCTTCCGCCGAACCCAGGAGTCTGTATCGTCGCAGTCTTATCAGGCTCGGTCTCTTGAGCGAATGCTATCAAGTGGGAGCTAAGGTCAGAATGCAGATAGACAAGATCGGGAGTGAAGAATTACGTACGCTGCACAGGCAATGATTGCACATCGAAAAAGAACGGTGGGCAGTTGCCGAGCACAGGTGGGTTGATGAGCATTTGACTGAGGACGGTTTGAAGAGGGTAGGTATAGTCCCCCTTCATCGAAAGTTCGTATATGGCCCCTTTGAGCAGCTCCTTCAGGTCATGTGTGCATTGCGGACCCCAGACACCATCGCAGCCATTACTAGGCCCAGAAGGCGTACCTGTCAGATTTCCTACCCGGAAGGCAATCTCGGAGGTGCGATTCGCAGTAATGACGGAGCTGTCGATCCGCTGAGGGTCGTATGCAAGCCAGAAACTAGCCTTGACTATAGGCTCTTGCCCTTTGCCAGACGGGTTCGCGTCAAATCCATAGTACAGAGTGATATCATCGAGGAATAGAGGAGGAAAATCGAAGTTGACGGCTGTCTGAGCAAGAGGGTCGACGCAGCCACCGTCCCAAAAGGTACAAAACTGGGCCATGGTTGACGGCAAAGCGACCAACACCAACATCAAAATCATCCAGCCAGGTCGAAAGACCGATCCTGATCCAAGTTGGATAGACATTGGTGATTCCATGGTCGTCGGGACAAAGCGGCTTCACGAGTGGGATCGATCTGTTTATGGTATCTAGATGAGATTGATGAGGGAGCAGCGGCCAGAGACGACTGGCATGCTCATTACCGTGTTGTTGATGTTATTATTGTTGACGAAAGCCGGTCGGTCGGAGAGGTTGTCGAAGGGATAGACGGAACAAGGAGCGGAGGGATGAATGCGAAAATAAGGCCAAGTGGAGGTGATAAATAGAAGACCCTTTAAAGCATGATAGAACCCGCAACAAATACAATACCACCACCACTAGATAGATAGATATGGGGCAAAACGAGAAAGGGATTGCAGAAAGAGATGCTAGTGAGAGTCCCCTCCGCGCTTAGACGGCACAGGCGTAGACCGTCCGTTGTGCAAATGTGTCTAAACTGTTCTCGTGTAAGCAAATGTCGACTATTGGTGCTCGCGGACCACTTTGTCCACCGACCAGAGGCCAAGGACTTAGAATCGAGACGGTGTCCAAGCAACGGTGGTATTGACGGAGACGGGGGGAGAAGGGTCCGTTTGATATTACAGGAGTGATACTATGGTGAGTTGAGAGCTAGGTAGGATATCAATGGTGGAAGAACATGGCCTGACGAGGGAAGAAATGAGCGGAAGGGGAAAATAGTATCCGTAAGATGAGTAAGATTGACTCCTGATGAGATTATTATGGGTATGAGGAGAGAGAGAGGAGGCTGAGGAACAAAGCTTCAAGCCTTGTATTAAGGCCACGGTTGTAGAGGCAGAAGTCGACGATGGTACGGAGTATGGAGCAAATAATCTCCTCCCAGGTCAATGGAAAAGAAATATCATAGGCAATTGCAAATACGTAGATAGATAGAACGGAGTACAGATGATGACCCTGCTGACCTTCTCAGACAGTCAGTGATTCAAACAGATCATTTTTCTGAAATTCGAATTCTGATTTTCTATTATTCTCTCACTAATATTAATCCGCATAAATCAGGGCTTGTGGAGCCCGGGATTGGCCGCAGGGCATGGTGAAAGCCCGAAGAGGTGCCTTTTCTTCCACTTGCACAATTCCAGCGCTCCCTGATTTACCTGTGGACAGGACATTCTTGGCCCTGCTTGGCCAGCTACGCTAACGGGGGGTGCCCCCGCATATTTCTGGCCGAATGCGGCAGTTCCAGTGGATGATCCCAGACAGGGTGTCAGGAGGGGACCATTCAGGGAGCAGAGCCCGCACATATTTGGGCATTCTGAATCCTAGGGGCCCACTTGGTTTGTTTAGCTTGCCAGCCACCACCGCAATTTGATTGTTTCCCTTTCTGCTAGTAGGTAGTAAGTTATTTTACAACGAGAAGATTGACGGAGTATCTACGGAGTATTCCACAGATGACATCCATCAGCATTCTCCTGGTCTCCTCAAAACCCTGGAGAGATGATGTCGATGCTCCGGTATATTTAGGTTCACATGGCTGGTATCTTGATTGGAACAAAACAGTAATGTAGCCTGGAACTGTTTTCCCAAGTCAATTGATCAGGTGATGATCTGTATGCATGAAGCCGCAGAGTGAATCTCTGGTATCTATGTAGGTAACTGTGGGTGTTACCTTGCTTTATGGAGTACCTACTAGAGAGAGTGGAAAGTTGGGAACTACCTAGGTACTGAACCCTTAATCACTAATAAATGACCTGCCAAATCAGCAAGCCAATGTAGCTGAGCAATAAATTCCATATACCTACAGTCATCCTTATCACCAGCCGGTCAAGCATACCATCAGGATACTTTTATTGCAACACATGCAGCTCAGATTCATCCAGATTATTGGAGAAAAGTCCTGAAGAAGACAGGTTGAGTTTACCCAAACTACTCCATACAGAGTAATGATCTCACATTTCCTATCATGAATCTGTTCATGTTCACGTCCCATGGTTTTCTTCTGATAACTATGCAAAGTTCGTCCGTCACTCAACCCATCGCTAGCCACGGGGCCCGAGCATCTACTAGAAATTTTCTACGGTCTATCTATTTCAAACTCGACTATTCTAAACAGGCAATGGTACGGTGTGGCAATATTATTGGACTACGGAGTAGTTAACGGTGTATCAAACCACAAATCATCATGATAGCAAGTGTTTAAGAGCAGCAACTTGGTAGGAAGGGTACAGAGTCGGAGTCTCGGAGCCATTTGGGAGCCTGTACTAGACATCAACTTATCAACGCTAAACCCTTTGTTCTTCCCATGTGAATATAAACCAAGATGTCAAGATCAGTTGATACTACTATCCTGACCCAAACGATGATCGACACCCTGGCTCTTGAGTTCCACTGTTCATTGATCACCACCCTCGGAACTCCAAAGGACTTTACTTATGAGGGAATCTTTCGCCGTGCCCGACAGGACTATTTCGACGCAATTGGCGCTGATCACTCGGAGACTGTCAACTGTCAAGTGTCACCATTCTGACACCATGTCTCTCCTCTTACCTTTCAGATAGCTTAATGAGAATACATGTCTCAAGTGGTTGTACGCCGACGGTTATCCTGCATCTGTACCCTTGGACGCTCCAACCCCATCAATTGGAAGGTACTCAAGGGTGACCAGCAGAAATAGACAGTGAAGTCATCTGCTGTAGGCTCACAGTCACAGGCTAAATACAGCAGCGCTCGTCGCCGACAACAAAATAGCTGTTTAGCCAAGTACAGCCAGTCAGCCACATTTCCCTATTCTAGTCTAGCAGGAATCAAATTCAAGGGTTCAGCGGAAATGACCCGTTCGATTTGGAGACTTCCAGGTTCAAGCCAAGGGTTCTACGTACTAAATTCTACCGTAGCAGTGCTAGACCGCTAGCAAATGGGTTGAACTTGATGTGGAAAAACTACCTAGTTCCGTTTGGGTTTTGGCAGACCCAACCTTGAAGCTAGGTAATATCCGACGACGCCGGTATCCAATCAAAAGGCAGGTTTAGTTGTAGTCTTTCTATTGTGAACCTTGGCCACTGTGCGTCATTGCTTCTCTTGCATTTTGAGTCCATAGGTACTCCGTACTTAATTGTGTTTAGGCAGCACAGTTTTGCCGGAGTGCTTGGGATAGGACATCAAAGATGAATGAAAAGTAGAAAAATGCCTCATGGATATTAGTGGACAATGCTGGTAGGAGAATTATATTGTAAGATTGCGCTCACGACCCGACCAGTAACTTTCCTGGCAAGGTCAATAATAATGGCGTCGGATGCAGGATCTCCTGGGATCAGCCGTCCATTTTGTCTTCAAGAAATTTGATCCGGGCCTTGATCACCGCAGCTGACTCCGTAATTGACCTGGTCAGCTTTCGGATCTTTTCCAGCTCTCGTGTCCTGTTTCTCTCCGCAAGAGACACGATTTTCCGCACGGTTTCAACCTCTGCTGCCTCCATGTCCGTCAACCCGCGGATACTGGGATCCCGATTATTCTGGCGGTGTTTCTCGGCAGTGCGGACCCTGCAGACAGCCTTGACAAGAGGCAGAATGGCTGGTTGATTGAAAGTAAGCCACGATGCGTTCTCGGGCGTCGCCCCCTGGTGGTCCCAGATGATGTCCATTGCTGCTGCGCGCTGGGTGAACTTCTTCAAACTCTGAGCGCCATCAGGCACTGGAGCTACGTTTTGGACCCAGTCGAAGTCATGTGGGATCTTTTGACCACGGTTAGATGTCTCTTCACTCGCCTGGACGCCGGTGTTCTTCCTAGTGCGACCTTTTCTGGCCCTCTGCCATGCCTCGTATTGCATTCGTTCGTCTGGTGTCATCTGTGATACGGCTATGCTCTCCGGATCTCTCAAGTGCTGAGAGGCCAACTGTAAGCCTGTGAACAGTGCTAGGCTGTTCCCATCGCTGACCACTTTGGCTAATGCTCCCATCTTCTTGGCCGTTGTTTCGAGGTCGTCGTCTACTGATGGCACTGGGAGTATCTTTAGGTTCTCGCCCAGATGCTTCAGATCTGCAGGGTCTATCCCAGGTTCTGGATTTTGGGTGGTAGCAATATTACTTTGCTCATCAAAGCAGCCGCCTGTAGCTTGATTTCGAAATGGTAGGGATTGCGTATACATTTTTGGTGATGAAAGACTTGATGGATCAGAGGGACTGCGTGACATCTTGGCAGCGATTGGACTGCTCGAGGAGAATAGGTTGTTTGCTTAAAGTAGGTGATCCGAAAGAACTTGATGAAGCCTCTCAGTCAAATTCACATTGGCTTGATGTATATGTGAGTTCCCAATGTCAATGTCATAAAAAGATCCGATGTTGATGACCCACTTTGACAAACAAAGGGTACCTCAGTCCTGCCAGCTCTTATACTTGGTTGTATAACTCATCCTGAGATGAAAATCATACGCTGACAATGAAAGTGTCAGATGTGATGCGGTTCAACGATGGAGAATGTCTGATCAATGAAGGGAGGTCGAGATCTATAAAGAATGAAGCGAGTCTCCACCAAAGTTTGTGTGAGGATGACTAAGTCATCATGAGTACAGCAGCAAGTTGAACAAACAATCTAAGGCTCTCTTTGTTTTTTGGTTTAAGGGCTTGAATCTCTGAATAAGTGGATGTATGTGGAAGATAACAAAAATTTAAAAAAGTGAGACGCATGTGTATTGTACAACAGGTGCCTACAGCGAATAAGGCCACCACATTTGCCATATGGCTAGCTAATATACATTGAGGTTTATTTCATCCCTTTTCATCATATGAAGAGTTTCAGTCGGATGACCAAGATATTGAGATGAAGATGACAATAAAGCAAGTCAAACACATAGGAGAGTGTCCGAAATTCGACAAGTCCCAAACGCCGAAACCCCACGCTCGAATGCTGCAATAAAAAGAAGTTGCCCTATGGCTAATCCTATACAAGTGTCAATCAGTTGTCATCATCATCCATAAAGGCTCGATCTTTGAGGCCATTGCCTCTGAGCCAGACACGCTTCCAGGGACCATCGGGTCCGAAAGTTGCCTCCCGATCCTGCCGCATCCCCTCAAGGACGCCGACTATACCACCATTGCGCAACCTCTCCAGGACTATGTTCATGCCTTCCTTGCTTTTGAGCACTGCATCTCGAGTTCTACTCACGCCAATGAGCTCAATGGTTCTCTGAATCCCCGCAGTGGACAGCGACGAAAAGAAACCCTTCTTAGGCGTCTCTTCATCAAACTCAATGGTCTGATCGGCAGAAGGGATAGTCTTCTTTTTTCCAAGGAACTTTCCTTGTCCCAACCGAGAGCGGAAGGTGACCGTGGTTTTCACCCGGGTCTGTTCGTTTCTCTGAGCATCTAGTGAAAGTCCCTGCAGGGTTTCGAGCGAACCCTCAATCGGTTGGCGCGTGTAGACTTGTTTCTCAACGACACTCAGAATACCCGTCCATTCCATGTTCCGCGATTCGGTTTCCATCCATCCCTCCTTAATGTCGACGACAGTAGTTTCAAGTATATAACTCTGGCCAGAATTGTCCGAGCCCCCAATTCCTTTCGGGAGTAATTTCAGAATACCCGACGGAACCTTTGACTTCTTCAAGTGAAGCCGTATTGTATGAAGTCGCTCCGTCTTCGGATCCACATAACGGTCGATCACATCGGTGGTCAGAACATGGCGAGAATATGGATTCGGGTAGCGGAGAAAGTAGGCAAGCGAGACGGCAGGGAAGGAATAATCGTACGTAAAGACATTCTCAAAGAATTTCATGATTGCTGATGCATATAGGAAGTTGTAGAATCGAGTTGACGATGCTGGCGCTGATGTGGCGATGGAGGAATTGACGTTTGGGAGATGGGTGCTCGTCTGATCGTTGACCTTTCTCAGTGGTCGGATCGAAACTCCTGTTGGAAGAATTTCTGTCAGGTTCCGGAAGCTCTGGCGCTAGCCCGATTTGCAACGCGGGGTGCCAAGAGATCCACGTGATTGATTTATCCAGCCAGATGATAGGCTATGGCCAATCACATCGCCCAAATTCTGCCAGCCGGCCTGAGTCATCCACCAACCGGATTGGAGGGGCAGCAGAATTATTGAGCAGTTGGTAGGATCGTTACCATCTACGCCTACTCAGAGTGACTCGCCGTAGCGCATTGGTCACCTTCTCGGTCATCCGCTTCATACTTTTCTCTCGCTGTCACCGAAATCCTTACTGAAACATGGCGGACGAACCAGGACAACCCCCCGCTCTCACCACGCTGAGCCTGGCCGAGAAGGCCCCCGCGTCCAAGGCAGTCTCCCAGGTTGTCACTCCTTTCGATGTGTCCGGTGGTGTCGACGAGTCGGGCAAGCTTCTCCCAGTCGACTATGATAAATTGGTTCGAGAATTCGGAGCTACTCGTATCTCCAAAGAACTGCTCGAGCGCTTCGAAAGAGTGACTGGACGTCGGCCTCATCGATTCATGCGCAGAGGAATTGTGTTCAGCCACCGTGACTTGAACTTGATTCTTGATCGTTATGAGAAGGGACAACCGTTCTACCTCTACACTGGGCGTGGACCTAGCAGCGACAGCATGCACGTTGGACACACGATTCCCTTTGAGTTCACCAAGTAGGTCGCCCTTTTTTCAATTGATGCTTCTGAAAACAAATTGACCAGGCTGACTTCACCAGGTGGTTGCAGGATGTCTTCGATTGCCCTCTGGTTATCATGCTTACTGACGACGAGGCGAGTTCTATGTCTATGATGGGTTTTACCTTTGCGTCTAACCAGGTTATAGAAATACATGCATTCGCAGAAGATCGAGATTGAGGATGCTAAGAGATATACGAAAGCAAATGCGATGGACATCATTGCGGTCGGTTTTGATATGAAGAAGACATTTATTTTCAGCGACTTCGATTTCGTTGGCGGCGCATTCTATGAGAACATCTGCAGAATGGCGAAGAGGATCACAATAAACTCTGTCCGAGGAACTTTTGGATTTAACGACAGCAACAACGTCGGAGAATTCCACTTCTGCGCCACTCAATCTGCCACTGCATTTGCGACAAGCTTCCCTCACATCTTCGGTACCGACAGGAAGAAGGTCTCGTCGATTCCTTGCCTGATTCCCTGTGCGATCGACCAGGACCCGTACTTCCGTCAGTGCCGTGAACACGCCGAGAAGATGAAGTACAAGAAGCCATCGTTGATCCATGCCATCTTCCTTCCCGCTCTTCAAGGTCCTGGCTCGAAAATGTCTGCCAGTGTCGATACATCCGCCATCTACATGAACGATGCCCCTAACCGAATCAAGAACAAAATCAACAAGTACGCCTTCTCTGGAGGACAGGATACAGCTGAGCTGCAGCGTCAACTGGGTGCCAACACCAAGGATGACGTCCCATTCCAGTACCTCACCTTCTTCCTGGAGGACGATGAGGAGCTGGAGCGCATCCGTGTGGCTTATGCGAAGGGAGATATGCTTACCGGCGAGGTCAAGCAAAAATGTATTGCGGAGCTACAGGCTTACGTTCAGGCCTTCCAGGAACGCAGAGCCAAGGTCACCGACGAGGTGGTTGCTGAGTTCATGCGGCCTCGGCCCCTCGAGTGGAAAGGCAACCCCAACCCCATCGTTGTTGAGAAGAACTAGAGATTCCTCACTTTGAATCAATAGCCCTGCTTTTCAGCGTGCACTTGCCAGTTTCGTCAAAGCGATTGCTCCCGGAGTTCTGATCGTGGGAACATACAGGTCTGCCTTGAGAATATGAGTGGCCCAACATATGACATGAAGCGATGATAGATATAAATGAACATGGACCGTCTCTTTTCCGAGCGTTCCATCCTCGATCGGTTTAATGTGGACACATGTAATAATGCTAGCCAAGTTAACTTCCTGGTTGGTCATGAGCAATCTTGAGATTAACGGTAAATTCTACCGGCGTCCATCACTCATGGTTTAGGCTCTTTCAGCATGATTCTGCCACGGAAAAATCCTCTCACACCATTACTGAGCCAACACTCTTCACCGTCGATCAGTTCGGCGACGGTGATCACCTGTTCGGAGCAGAATCCTCGAGTCAAAGCATATCGCCTTGTTGTACCCGCATTACCTCCACTGGAGAGAGGTGGCGTGACCCAAGCCGGCTCGGCATCCTCTTGATCAATATTCACTTGTGTTGGTGTAGACCTCCGTCGTCTGAAATATGGAGTCGTTATGCTCCCCTCCATAATTTCCCCGTAAGGATTTACAATTAGGACTTCAGCCGGATCTTGCGGGGAGGTGATCTTGGCTCGAAGTCGCGCAGCAGTGTAATTGTCTCGGGATGTAGTCTTATGCGTTGTGAATGGCGACGGTACGGTTCTTTGAGAGTCTACAGTGACACGCCAGGGTGTGGGCGGCTGATTCGTTTCGGAAGGCAGGAGAAGGCTCAGCGGATCAATTGGTACGGCTGCGTTGACCTCGACGTTGCATGCGCCATCTCTGTCAATGACAATGCGCAGACGCCATGGCTTTGTCCGGTCTGGTATGAAGCTGTTGAGGTGTTCGACGAACGACTCGACATCTCGCTGCAGAAACCTAGCTGCTTTGCTCCAATTGAAACATTCTGCAGCTTTTAGAAGTCGTTCTCGATGATAGGGGAGAAGGTAGTACGGTGATCGCAGTGGATCTGGGTAGACATCGGTGGGTTGCGCTCTGAGCACATCGGGAAGCGCAGGTTCGTAACGAAGAGAGGAAATTATCTGGAAGGACTCCGAGGCTTGCGATGGTGTAATTGCAGCCATTGCTTCAATTAAGAACGAAATGGACGCAGAGTCAATGGTATACTGTGAGCGTGGTAGGGACGAATGGAAACGGAAAATGTTTGCGACAGTCAACGAGAAAGTCATTAGCGATGATAGGACCAGATCTCTAGCATATCAACATTGTGTCCTCTCATAAATCATTGAATTCATCCAGAGATCCGTTTTCTCAGCCGATGATGATATATGGTGGAGCAGAGTAAGCAAGAGATCGTGATTGGCCTGGTAGGCACGAGAGCTCGGAAGGGCGCTGCAGTACGCCGGAACTTGGAACATCGAAACGCATAACTTTTCAGGGCCGCATCATCTCTCCCATCACTCTCCCTTCCTCGAAGCTTTTAAAGAAGAGCAGCATTTTGCTGACAAGCACCCTACCCTTCATCAAGGACCGGTATGTCATTAATCAATCGCAATTATTTTCTCCAGTTCATGATTCCTCCGTAATTGTTCAATTTCAGGTTGCTCACTGCCGTCCTCTGCGCTATGCAGAGTTCAGGATTCAGGTTCCTCTTTGCCGGGTCATCATGTCGAGCGAATCGCCATTACCCCAGCCAGTGAAGAACGTCGTTGTTGACACAGCTTCCCTTCCTGCTTCATCTTCCGCATCAGTCTGGGACCGCATCTCGAAATGGGTGTCGGAAAATAAGGCGCTGGTCTATACCATTGCTGGTGTTGCCGTGGTCGTGACCAGCGCAGGTGTTGTATACTACCTCTCCGAATCCGGCCGGACCACCCCAGCCCCCGCTCCCGCAGAAAAGAAGAAGAGCAAGAACCAGCGTCGAAAGGAGAAGAAGAAGGCGGAGGAGGAGAAGAAAGCGAAGGCCGCCACCGTTCAAGAGGGTATGCCAAATCCGACAGCTCTTTGCGCAAGCTCTAAACACAGTATCGGGCTGATGACGCTTTAGAACAAGCTCCCAAGAAGGTCGAGGAGGTTTTGGAAGAGCTGCCTGAGGTCGATGAGGCAACTGTTGACCAGTTGTCGGATGAGGTGAGTTGCTCATCCCATCCGTGTCTACTTCTCCCACCCTCCGCTGCTCAAATGCTCACAATTGATATTGCAGACCCGGAAAGCTTATGCCGCCAAGCTCAAGGCCGCCGGAAACAAGGCTTATGGCTCCAAAGACTACAACAGGGCCATTGAGCTCTACGGAAAGGCCATCATTTGCAAACCCGACCCTGTCTTTTACTCGAACCGCGCTGCCTGCTACAATGTCCTTTCGGAGTGGGAAAAGGTCGTTGAGGACACTAGCGCTGCATTGGCAATGGACAGCGAGTACGTCAAGGCCTTGAACAGGAGAGCTATTGCGTACGAACATCTCGAGAAGTACAGCGAGGCCCTTCTCGACTTCACCGCCAGCTGCATCATCGACGGATTCTCCAATGATGTCAGCCGCAACGCGCTGGAAAGACTTCTAAAGAAGGTTGCAGAGAGGAAAGCCAAGGCTATCTTGGAAGCCAAGGGCCGCAAACTCCCTAGCCCTACCTTCGTTTCCAATTACCTTCAGAGCTTCCGCCCCCAGCCTTTCCCCGAAGGTCTCGAAGAGTCCGCCGATCTCAGTGAGGAGTCTGGCAAAGGTCAGCTGCGCAAGGGTCTGATCGCCATGACCAAGAAAACCGGAGACGGCTACGAGGAAGCTGCTGGTGCTTTCGAGAAGGCCTTGGAACTCGGTGATCTGGGTGAATACGAAGCGTTGGCCCTCAACATGAGAGCCACCTTCACCTACCTCGAGGGCAACGCTCAGTCGGCCCTGGATGATCTTAACAAGAGTGTTGAATTGCAGCCATCATTGGTGCATAGCTATATCAAGCGTGCCAGCTTGCACCTCGAGCTTGGTAAGTCTGACACGTCTTTGTCGTGAGCATCACCCAGGTGTTTCTGACCGATTCTAGGCAACAAGGACGCCGCAGCCGACGACTTTGAACTCGCCATCACCCACAACAAGGACGATCCCGATATCTACTACCACCGCGCCCAGCTTCACTTCATTCTCGGAGAGTTCGCCGAAGCCGCCAAGGACTATCAGAAATCGATCGACCTCGACCGCACCTTTATCTTCTCTCATATTCAGTTGGGTGTGACGCAGTACAAGATGGGCTCTGTTGCCTCAGCCATGGCTACATTCCGTCGGTCTGTGAAGAATTTCGAGGACGTACCGGATGTCTACAACTACTACGGTGAACTTCTTTTGGACCAGCAGAATTTCTCCGAGGCGATTGAGAAGTTCGACAAGGCTGTGGAGATGGAGAAGCAGAGCAAGCCAATGGGAATCAATGTCCTGCCCCTGATCAACAAGGCTCTTGCCCTGTTCCAGTGGAAGCATGACTTCCAGGAGGCCGAGAACCTTTGCCAGAAGGCTCTGATCAGTAAGTCGTTACCGTGGCCTTCTGTAAGCTTTGAGAATTCACTGACTTGCGTTTTAGTTGACCCTGAGTGTGATATTGCTGTGGGAACCATGGCCCAACTCCTTCTTCAACAGGGTAAGGTCTCGCAGGCACTCAAGTACTTCGAACGGGCCGCAGAGCTGGCTCGTACGGAGGCGGAGATCGTCAACGCCATCTCATATGCCGAGGCCACTCGGACACAGTTGGAAGTCCAGGAGAGGTACCCCCAGCTGGCAGCGCGTTTGCAGTCCATGGGTGCTGGCTTGGGCGGACCTCCTGGTCTGTAAAGAGTCACTAAGCCACTTCAACGAGCAATGCACCATGAACTCTTTCGCACCTCTACATAGACCACTTTTTGCCCCGAGGGCTTTTGCGAGACTAATCGTTTCCTTTTCCCCCTATCCTTCTCTTCACCGTCAAAGCCTCCCAGTTGACAGCACAACCATGCGAGCAATACCTCCGCCTTTATAATGGACCGTTTTCTTAGCTCACTCTGATATCTTCAGGGGTGTCTGGTCTCCCTACTCATGAGTCTGTACCTACTACCATATGTTTGCGTTTCGTTATATGTGTTTCCCCTCTTTAGCTTAAAAGATCCCTTCTCTGATTGTTCACCTATCATTTGTCCTCCTTTTCTGTTTCTTGTATGTTTTGGTCATCTGCTTGTTCGGGAAATGTGCTGGCCTTCCACTATGGAGGAATCAGCTTTGTGGCTGAAATGTCTATGTCCGACGCCTGGAGCTTCATTTCCGACTCTGACAAGGGAAGACGGTGATGGAAAGGATTTCAATTGTACCATAGTAGTAAGTGGGTGGTAGTAGGAAATACAGTATGTTGGTTGCCTTTTTCCAAGTGTGCTATCTGCCTTTTCGTACACTTTCTCAAGTATAAGACTAGGTAGTTATTGTTGTGGTGTGGATTTCCCCGCAACCCATGGAAATGCCTTCCTTATCGTCAGCCTAACTGCTCAGGCTAATCCTTATCACCTGACGGGGGGGCGGACCACGGGAAACCCCACCTCCTCCCTATCAAAGGGTCTAGGTAAGGTCAGTCCAGCCCAGGTAGTCATTGCGTATCACCAGCATCAGCGTCACCATCTCAGAAGGAACTGTGGTTCACACTCTTTACTCGTACATCATCATTATCATTCGTAAAATAGTTCCTGTTTGCCTTGATGTCACTCTAAAGAGGATTCTGAATCCTCTCATGTCTTCGCTGTTGTTGTTTAAAGTAACCCCCAAGTCAGCTGCTGAATAAGATACACTTCTTTAGCCCACTCCTCAACTCCTTCCTTATCAAGCTGGGCATTGTTGGTTCGGCCTACTGTGCCGTGATAATTCGAGCATCTATCTCTCTCTGTCGTCTTGGGTATCGACAGCCTAGATCAACTCTCCAGGCAGCCATCCTGAGTCCACGTCTTCTACCCACGGAATCGTACGTGACTAAGGTGTTGTTGTCCACGTTTCTCTGCCTGACACCGACCGTCTCTTTAGCTCAGGCTGATCCCGTACACTTCCTCCTCTTACCCCTCCCTAGCTATCTTTCCGTCATCGACTTGGTTGCCTCATCACAACGACAAGGTATCGAAATCGTTTTACATTCTCACATCGAAACGACCAGGGCTTACAACTGTTCAACACTTTTCCAGCTCGCCTGTCAAAGTTATCGAACATCGTGCTTATAACGGTGAAGGCGTTGTCTTTGTGAGTTCAAGTGTTGTGCGTGATAAGCAACACTTGCTCCCTTACGCACACATTCAAGGCTCGAAGTCCACGAGTCGACTGGCCAAACCCTCATCATGCCTGATAAGCAGGGTATGCACCCCACCGAGATCTTATACTGAGGAAAGAGCATTTGATTTACTCGTCCTTGTGTTGCCAGCTGTTGTTACTCTTTACCCGCTCTTCCAGCCAGATGTCCTGCCATTCCGCTCCCTAACGTTCGCTCCCGATACCGACTTCGTGAAGATTGGCCGGGCTTCCAAGCGGGAAGCGAAGGGTCTGGTCCCCGCTCACCATAATGCATTGTTCGAATCGAGGGTTATGTCCCGGGATCATGCGCAGTTGAGGGTATGCTTTGAAAAGAAGGTATGTGATGTCAAGGCAACCGCAGCCCGTTGCACGAAGTGTCAACTCGCATGCAACACTGTTCATACTAATGTAATTGACCACAGGATGTCTACATACGGGACAATGGCTCCATGCATGGTACCTGGGTTAATGGTAAAAAGATAGCGATCGACAAGGATGTCACAATCCATAGTGGTGATGTTGTGACATTTGGTACTGAGGTTATACGTGGCGAGGGTATGCCCTCTCCCTCGATAAAGATTTCAGGTCAAGAATTCGCAGACTCACTTGCTCTCTCTAGATACATATCCGCCATTGAGGGTTCGCTGCGAGTGCCAGTGGTTTGACATTGAGTATGCAACTTGCGTTGTTTTACTTTCTCCCTGGGGGTCGTTTACTAACACAGTAGACTTGGCAGGGAGGGGGCTTCGAATCCCAGAAATGCACAGGATAACCTGAAGACGAACACTTTCTGCGTTCCTGACGACGACGATGAGGTAATTCAGATTGCCGATGAAGCCCCGATGGACTCTGCATCGAGTGGATCTTACGTGCCAGACGACGCAGACATTTGCTCAGACTCTGATCATCACCAACCTGCTGGAAACTCGACGCCCATGACTTCACCTCTGAAAAAGGATGTTTCTGTGGAGCTAGCCGAAAACAAATCCTCTGCCGCCGCCAGTGAGGTTCAAAGCCATGTGAACCGATCACAGCAAAGTCCAATTGATCTTGACGAAGAGAACATCGAGCATCCTCTTGTAACTCCACGGATGACCCCACCGTCCGTTGAGGACACTTACGAAGGTTCCTATGCCGGCATAGCAGACGATATGGACGGCATTGACTATGCTCCAAATGCTGAGCCAGCACTTACTGGTTTCAGTCGAGGGGACTCGGCCACTGGATCTGATGGCTGGGAAGAAAGCGAAGATCAAGACGACTCTGACGATGACTTGATTTCGCACTCGTCTCTGGGTGTCGACACCGATGCGTTTGTTAGGGAGGCCGATGCTATCGGATCCGACATCCCTTCGACTTCAATGGTCTATGAATCGCTAGTAGCGGTGGCTGTCAGTAAGGGAGCCCTGTCGCAGGAGGAAAACAGATGGGTATCCCCTCAAAACGATGCACCTTGCTCGATAGCGGTTACCAGCAACGAACAAGTCAGTCTCCAGCCTGCTGCTCCAACCCTGAACAGCTGGAAATCCACCTCGAACGAAGATTCGACCGGGTCAACTCCCCTCAAGTTCGGCTGGTCGCCCATCCCACAGTCTCTCGGAATCTCCAATTCGGCTTCACGGTCCAGTGGAAGATGGCTCGACCACTCACTTACCTGTTTCCATCACACTACATCGCCACCAGGTGCGGAAGAATGGTCGCCGAGAGTTGGCTTTCACCCTGTCGATCCTTTAAAGGAACGTGAAAGCAGTTACAGTGCTATATTGCAAGATCATCCGACATCACTTGCTCCTTATTCTGATGGACCATTTGTCAACAGACAGACACATACAGCTTTCGATGAATTCGATAAGGGGAACAGAATTCGCTCTACCGTTGCTAACATGAACAATGATCAGCCAAGTCAAGAACAACGGGCCAACGCAGAGGGAACGCAGTCTCGGGAAGACAGCAGTCGCGTAGATCTGCAGTCAAAGCCTCCTTTAATCTCATCCATGGCCAGTTCAGGGGCCACTCGGGACTCCAATACACGTCTTTCTATCGCTGACATTGTTGACACTTCAGCGTGGGCAGCAGCATGTGGCGACAAGCCATCGCGGAAGAGGAAGGCTTCTGAAATGGAGTCGGACTCGGAGGAGCTTGATCAGAACCTTGCCAGGCACTTCCCTCATGTCACTTCCGTCGAAATTAGTGATTTGCTTGACAGGAAATCTACCAGTGGGTCTGCAGAGTCCTTCTCTCAAGACGCTCAGCCACAAGTTCCACCCGTTGATCTGGACGCCTCGCTCTCGCGTCTTACGGGGCTTCACACCGTTGCCAAAACTCAGAATACCAATGTTCCTCCCAAAGCTGCTGCTCCTGAAAGTGAACGACCATCGAAGAAGCAAAGGGTTTCGGGCGCAGGAAGCTTTGGAAGCCATGCTGCTAGTGTTCTTCTCGGCGCTGTGGTTGGTGGCTTGGGTACAGTCGCTCTTCTAGCCTCGCTTCCCGCTGACTACTTCGCTTAAAATGCTTCACGGGGAATGCAGCCACCAGCCTTTTTCCTTGCGTCTCTCCCCTTCTCCTTTCCTCCACATGTTGGCCTATTTCATTCCTCCCCTCCTGCCAGACTGAACTTATTCTACCCTGGCGTCTCTTTCAATGAAGTCGGCCGTTTGGTTTCTGGGGATTTTTGATTGTTCCACGGCGTTTTCTTCCCTCGGATGGCTTTTGGGAACTTTGTTGCTCTCTTGGGAATTTGTCAAGAATTTGCGGTGTCACTCATGCTGGTGCGGGCGTGTCTCCTTCTATTTGTCTTTTAAGGAAGAATTTTACAATGAGATATGTTTATGATGCATCTTCCGCACTGGTAGTTTACTGCCGAGGCACAGGCATAATTTGCGCAGCTCCCATGAGCACACCATACTACTGAAGCAGTCACATTCTTGCTTAGGATTTCATTTCGCCTATGACCCCCAACGCCAGCTGGCAATGCATCGTGTCTGTTATGGAAGGCTGACAGGGCTTGCAATCACTGAGAATATTTGATTCCTCCGGTTCTCGGAGCTTCTGGTCATGACTCTAATCCATCCATGTATAAGCCGACGATGGTCCCTCTAAGGACATGGATTTGCTATAACATACAAAACAATGTTATCAAGGATTGGCTGCCTGATATTGAGGGCAGATGTCAGCTGATCGCAATCTGTTCAGCGATCACCTGTTTTGCTTCTCCCTTTGTGCAACATCAACACCTAACCTCACCAGCGCCAAGGATGAGAAACAGACGGTATGGTACGCATGGAAGACTAGACCCTACGCTCAGCCATCAACATGCCGCGGAGAAATTCTCCAAAGAGAGCAAAAACAAAAAAGTGGACCACTGGTTAGATAGAGCCTAGAGGTGATTTCCTGCCTCAGCCACATCATTCATGGGCATCAGTCTTCAGCTGGAGATTTCGAGCAAGGTTCCGATGGCAGTAGAGATGACACCCGAAGCCAAGGTGAGACCCTCTCCAATGCGGGATTTGCAACGGATGCTTGCATATTGGCCTAAGCAAACCTGGAATAGGTAATATGCCCGTCCTATGTTGATCCTGTGTCCAGTGTCCCATCCACAAGCCACGTCTCGGTTCGGCCGGCTCGACTGTGATAACTCTTCTCTGCAAACGCTGTCCAGCCGTCTTCATCATAATGTTTCCCGTATTCTTACGATTCCTGACACTCTGGACCTTCCCACGCGGACGGCTGTAACCTCTCGGTACTATGAATACGACATAACAGTTTCCTGAGAATAAATCGGCGAGTGCTCAAGGTTCGGCTGAGTTGTCTTTTACAGGGACCGGGAACCTGGGCCGTCCCAGGCTAGCCAGCCAATGAGCTGCGACATCACCTGAACTGCAAATGCATCTCACATTTGTTGTGAGAAGGGCTTCCTGGGTGACCCTGTTTCATTTCATGCCTTACGGCCTCAGTGACATGTGATCAATCGATCTGCAGGTAAAGTGCCCTGCATCTGATACGAGGTAAAGGGGGTTTCTGCTGGCACAAAGACTTCAAGTCTTTACGCGGCCTTCTGCCGCCATGCGGCTGGTAAAATCGTTGGACTCGCGATGCGGTTTCCAGTGTTCGTATATCGGGCGGATACCTGCATGAGAGCGCATTTTCACATTGAGTTGAGATCCCAGAGACGTGGTGCTGAGAGTGATCACGAGACCATTATGAGAGATACCCGTTGCCTTTCTCACAAAGCCACTCACTCTACTAGTCCGAAGATCCGGTATCTCGGATGGATTAATGGAGTCTGAACCAACCCTATCCCTGACACTTCGTTGCAAGCGGTTGAGGTTATGGAAGCCAGGTCATAACCAGCCGTCGCCCTATCAGATGGCCTCCTCTAGTACGTCTTCCTCCAGGCAGACATAATTTCACTGGCCTTGCAGTAGCTTGGATCCTGCCATGCAGCGCAATGAGGTATGCGCCGCAGGAGCTACACTCTCGCTAAGAGTGGCATTTGAGTCGCTACGCTCAATCCGAGGCTGGTAGGTCCGTGAAATAACTGCAGCCTCGGTCATAGCCAGCAGAATGATTGAGCTTGCATTAGGCGGCCCGCTAGTGGACTACGAATCAACGAGACGAATCGACACTCAAGCGGTACAGAAATCGAGTGTCTTTGCTCAAAATAGAAACGTGATTTGCGAGCACCGGGAATTACGTATCGGCATTGCTGGCAGGAACACGATACTAACTTGATGTTACTTCTTTCTCATCCGTACATCTTCTAGAAGAGCGTTCTGTGCGATCTATATTTGATACACGGGAGTGATATCATGCTGGCACGTTGCCCTGCACCTATCCGTGGTTGTCAGCGAGCTGGACAATGACTGAGCCCTCTCTTGCTTCGTTGGAGCGGTCAGCGATTCGAAGAATTTCCTGCGCCGATCCCCCATCATTCGCAACTCGAGTAACACAGCTCTTTGGTGGCTGCCATGCTTTTCGCCTTTGTTCCATGGTATGGATCATGCGATATTTCCACATACTTCATCAATTACCTGCGCAAAATATTATACTTTTTTTTTCTTTCCTTCCCTCTGATTGCATGATTCGGCGCTCGTTCCCTTCCTACCTGGACCCAGCTTCATGCAGCACGTCATGAGCGAGGCTCGGACCAAGATATCTGGTCGACTTTTCAATGGCCATCTCAACAACTTGCGACTTGGACCCAGCTCTATGGATCGCTGTCGTCGTCAAGTTTCCACTTTTCGGGATTCTGACCTGCTCGGTGATCTTGGACTGTGTCATCGAATACTCTGGATCAGTTGGGCGTCGCTTCGATGATTCCTGATCCATGACAGCGCAGCCGATCTCCTCTGATTCCGCCGCGTGTCCGACTTCGACAACGGCCGTTGATTCGCCACCAAACAAGGATCTGAAAGGCGTGGATTGACTCGAAACTCTAGTCGCACAGCCAGTGACCATATCATCTTTCGCTTACTGCATACGGAGAAATCGCCGTTTGGACTGGACAGGGAGGGGCCCTGTTCGGCCTGCAAGGCCGCCTTTTGCTCTTTCTCATCTAATCACACCACCTGTCCAAAATATATAAGCTGTATTAAGGTGAGACTGATAAAGCAACACATTTCCTCAATTGAAACAAGGCTGGTCCTTTGTTGAATACAAGAGGAGGCCAACAGATGTTAGCCATTGCTTCAGGAAACACAACCGTGTCTACAGCCTGCCTCTAGCCTTCGATTTCTCGCCGCAAGGTCCAGAGCATACAATTATTGTCATACTGCCATAATTGGGACAGCGCAATGTCATATCGAGCTATCTCGTCATTGCACTTAGATCCGGAGCATACATCTTGCATAGGAGGCCGGACCGTCTTAACTTGTCGGGATTGCGCAGGTAACGCACCAAGGTACGCTCTTCATGATTGTCAGAAGAGTATATTGCATCAACCCTGACGTTTGGCAGAGGAGCTGTATGTGCCAGTTGCAGTGGACGCGGCTTCGACATCTTCGTCTGCGCGCATTGCAACCCGGCGGCGGCTGTTCTTGCTGCAAGGAATGCTGGTTCATCGACTGAATCATCTACACCCTCCTCACCTGCATCACTAAGCCGAAGCTCGTCGACTTCAGTGTCATCGCGGAATGATCTAGCAGCTGCTCGACCGTGGAAGCGCTTCGGAGATGGCGACGGTGGTCCCGGAGGTGGGAGGATTGGAACAAGTACGAATACTCCACGGAGTGTATGATATCAACATAAGCCGCTCCGGCATGACTTACTCGAGGTACATCAGAAAGATGTTGCGCGGCAGCTACATCATGCATAGTGACGCGGGGATCCTTATTTTGGCGAAGAGGAGTTGCGGGATTCAAATAAAAGGGCATTGATGCGGACCATAGCCGTCCGTTGTTAACAGTTCTTTCGGGGCCTTTTTTAGAGCTGTTTTTTTGTGCTTCAATATATACTAGGACAAATCAGACGACATTGAATTGGTTTCCAAGATCATTTGGGCTTAGGTTTGTACTTCTACCATGATCTACCAGTTGACGACGCCACTGCAACTCTTAACCTTCTCTTGGCGAGTCATCAGCTACAAAACTACAATGTATTACCTATATCACAGTGTCAATCTGAAAACTGCCCGACTTGTTTGGTGCTGAGAATCGGAAGCTGATAAAATGTGACTAGATGCCGACTCCGAATGCGACACCCCACATCGCTGAACCTACTGCTACAGTTCATGACCGATGGCTTTGAGCCTTTGACTTGCATGGAATCATGATCGATTGCCGTTCGAAATCTTATGCTGGTTCCGTTCCAACTTCCAAGTCTCCATCACCCCAAACCCCTCATATCGGATATTCCGACCCTCCCGCGGCGGGTTATCCGGGGTTGGCAGTCCCCCTCGAAGCTTGTCCGTCCCCACATCGACTCTAAAGTGCTCATGCCATACATGCTTCGTACGCTTTGAGTTTGTGGATAAAGCTCTTCTTCTTCCCTTCTATTTCTTTAATTGCAAATCTCTCACGATTCAAGGTCTTTTCCCTCCTCAAACACAGCGAAACGTCTTCGAATCATCTCACACCATGTCTCTTGCCTTCACAAATCAACCGCCCGAATCGAGGGTCCCCTACGCCATCCCTCAATTGGAAGGCGAGCGCATTACTATCCCGGGTAGCAAGGGAACATTCCGCATTCTTGCATCGTCCAAGCAGACAAATGGATTGATGGCGGTTTTTCAAAGCGGCGCTGTCCTGTCTGATGCGCCGGGATTCCACTACCATAACCATGCTCACGACGTCTTTCTGGTAACGAAGGGATATTTGAAATTGTGGAACGGGGATAAGTGTCGGATCATGGGACCGGGCGACTTCGCATACGTGCCTCCTGTGAGTAGACGCCTTATTTTCTGTTTCTCGAGGCATGAGCTGACAAAGTTGCTTTACAGAAAGTGATTCACAACCCCGAGATGCTGGGCCCCCATACTGAGATCTATGGCCTGATCACCCCCGGCGACTGGGTAGATTTCTTCCGCTATGTCTCGGAACCCTACGAGGGGATCCTCGTCCCCGAAGACGACAACCGCGACCTAAAATCCATCCTCATTCCCAAAGTCATGGCCGCAAAGGAGAAGTTTGATGTCGTCTTCCAGCCCAACTACCAACCTCCCGAGGTGGGCGAATTCACCAAGGATGATGAGAAGATCCCAGATGGTCAGGAGCCATACTACCTGCGCTCTAACACGGGCCCGAGATGGATGCTGGGTGGTGTAATGTCTAGACCTTTCATCACCACGAAACAAAGCAATGGCGTCTGCGCGATCTCGAGCATTGAGTCGTCCAAGGAGTACAGTGAGGGTTTATTTTCCAAGTACATGACCTTCAAGTCAGTGGATCACTGTTTCTGTGTGCTGGAGGGTACTTTGACCGTTCGTCTCAAGAACTCTGCCGACGCGGTATTCCGTGAGGGAGAGACGGTGGTGGTTCCCGCTGGTCAGGCGTTTGCCCTGCGATTTGACAGCAAGTATGTGCGGGTGTACTCGTTTACTGATGGTGATGGTATTGAGTCGCTGGTGCACCGGCTCGGAAAGCCATTCGAGGGATTCATTCTGCCTGACAAGGAGCCCGAATGGGACGACAGCCAAGTGGAGGCTGTGGCCACAGAGCTCAATGTGGAAATTGAACTGTGATCATAGGATTAGTATTCCCTTTATTATGTACATAGGCAAGAATACAAAGATGCATTACGAACGACAGCAATTATGAATCATCCTGTCGACGGAACCCATCAGTAATTGTTACCGGGCTGACGGGTCTTCATTGGTCCAAAGCTCAAAGGGCGGGGAAACCCCGCGGGGGTTCATGTGACCTCCGGCAGTTCATCCCGGCGCCTCGGGATATCCGGCGCATTTTCTCGCTCGACACATATCGCGGCCTCTTGTCAAACGTCATCTGTATACAGCCACACTTGACAGCGTATGCATTATAGAATCATCTCAATGAATGATACAAACATGCATGGATGATGCAGCATCAGCCTCAACGATCCCCTGCGACCCGTACCTCAGCAGATGAACCTGCACCACCGCGACCGAAGCGACAACGTGCCGCGCAGGCATGCGACAGGTGTCGCCTGAAAAAGTATAAATGTGATGAGTTGTATCCTTGCACTCATTGCAAGAGTAAGCTCGTCACGTACTGTCTTCGATAGGATGAGGGGATTAACGAGATGCAGAAAGCCAGCTTGATTGCGTCTATCAGAGTAATTATCGGCAGCGCGAAAGCGGCCGGTCAGCCAGGTACTTCTCATCAGTGCCCCCGCTCTAGATTAATGATGACTCCCTGACTCTGTACTAGCTATATAATCGACCTTGAGAAGAAAGTCGAAGAGCTAACGGCAAAGCTGCGTGTGGCCGAGTCGGAGCTCGCCTCTAACCATTCTCCTCAACCGCAAAAAGTGGTGACAGGCTCGGAACCCAGACCAGCTCCGCGGGCAAGCATCGATGCGACACCATCGTCTCTGCCACCAAACGGAACCACTCCAAGGGACGCTCCACCGTTGCCCTATGGCCCCCAGGAGGAATCAGGCGACACTATCGAACACGAGATCAGCGAGCTGAATCACCACACCAACGGGATCGAATTCCACGGCAGTACCTCGTCAGCGGCACTGATAGGACATCTTCAGCGGGCTCGGGAGAAGAACCGCGTCGAAGAACGATGGGATTCCCGCGCCCACGAGGCCGGGTTTTCGCTGATCTCGACGCTGCATAATTCCAGTTTCTCGCCTTCGTGCACAGCTGGTTCTGCGCAGCCGACGACGTTCCAGGATCATAATTATTACTTTGAGCATGCGCACGCGTTCATCAATGGGTACTTTGAGAATATCCATTTCATCCATCCGTTGATCGACAAGGAGGATTTCAATGCCCGCGCGCATGATCTGTGGTTCAATAGGGCGCACCAGCCGGAGCCGAGTTTTGTGGCGTTGTACCTCAGTGTACTTTCGTTCGGAGCTTTGGTCCGTGTTTGGGATGAGGGGAAGCTAGGGGGACTGACGCGGTTTGAATGGAGTCGGAAGCTGTTCAGTGAAGCGCAGATGTACCTGAATCACCTGCACTTTTCTAATAACCTGGACACAGTTCAGTGTTTATATCTGATGGTAACCGCAGCTTGTCGAAGTTATGATACGTCGAGCTAACTTCATCCAGGCAAAAATATGCCAAAATGAGCTAAATCCGAACTGTGAGAGCGCCTTCCAGCCTGCTCGATGAACAACTACTGATCAAACCACCAGTGGCTTATATGTATCTGGGTCTCGCTGTACGTACTTGCTTGGCTGTTGGTTTCAACCGCGAAGTACGCAATCCGAAGGACCAACAACGTTCGGGCTGGATCTCGAAGACGTGGTGGTGAGTACGAGCAAGCATGCTTCAAGATCAAGATACTCATTCCTATCTCTTGCAGGGGCATATTCTCTCTCGAAATGTAGGTTTCCTTTGCAGCTCACGCCACACCACATGTTGATGATATCGATATCGCAGTGAAATGAGTTTCTCCGTCGGACGTCCCGACACCCTAGGCATGGACGAATATCACAACCGCGCGCTCCCAGAACGTGACGACTCCGAATACGCCATCATCCCGTGGATGGTGGACTTCGCTCAGATCATCCGGCGGGTATCCGTGCAGATCTACCACTCGCGCATCACCCTGCAGGAAAAGCTGCAAGTCGCCTTACACATCGAGACAGAACTTGACAAATGGATGGCCCGGCTGCCGGACCGGATCAAGCCGGATATCCAGGGTCACCAGCCATCAAGCGGCGCATTGCGAGACCCCAAATGGGCGCGCAGACAGCGGCTGGTTCTGGGGATTCGTAAGTGTCGAGGTCGATAGTTCGATCGGTGTGGAGACGCTGACGTGCAAAGGATACTACAACGTGAAGATGCTCCTATTCCGCCCGTTTCTGAGCTATTTCACTCGCAAGCTGCGACACACACCCACGGAGCTGGAAGAAACCATCACGAAATGCCTCGACGCCGCGATGAAGACAATCGAGGTCATATACGACATCTTCCGCATCCACACCTTCTTCCGCTGCTGGTACGCTTCTCCTCCCGCCACCCGAACCCAACCCAGACGAAAAAATGCTAACGCGCAGTGTACCAGGTGGTACAACACAACCTACGTCATGTTCGCGACATCGACCCTCCTCCTCCCCATGTCCAAACTGGGCCTGTGCGACGAGACAATCCCGCTCCTACGCTCTGTCGAAATGGCCGTCGAGATCCTAGAAGCGATGGACGAGTCCGTCGTCGCGAAAAAGTCCGTCGAGATCATCAAGCACTACCTGAAGGACTTCCGGAGCTCGGAACCCCAGCCCGCCCCGACGAGTTATGATGGCGATGATGCCAGCATCCAGGCTAATGCGGTGCATCAACTGCCGCAGCAGCAGCAGCAGCCCGGCTTTGATATTCCGGTATGTTTGGCCCTGGGGGGGTTCTGATACCGTGGGACGGTAGGCTTGGCGTTCGCTGGGTACTAACGGTCAAATAGGAGTGGGCCTACGGCTTCGGATTTCCCGATTACTCGTTTGAAGGGATTGCGAGGTTGTTTGATGATTTGGATGGGCTTCCGATGTTGGATGGCTGATAGCGTTTGCTCTTGCTGGGTGGGCAACAGCTGTATACATAATTGACTGTATTTTATAATACACATGTGCACTCGCAAAGTGGCTATGGACGGAGGCATTGGTATCATGCGAGTCTGATATCTATCTTTAGAAAACGGACTACAGATTTGCAGACGTCTTGGCGAACAATTCCGGGTGCTGCGTAACCGCTTTCTCGACCTCTTTGACTGCATCATAGCCATAAAGCCAAGGTTGCACCTCGGGGCATGTCCTGGTATCGTGTAAGCGGCTAGTTGTCCTGCCGGAAAGGACAAGGGAAAGTATTTGATACTCACCATCTACTGGGAAACGCGCCCTTGATCTCCTTTCCGAGTTGAGACATGAAGACCTCATCTCTCTTTTCCTGCTCTTCGCCATTTGGCATGTGGAAATCATGTCTCTGAAAGGGAATGTCAACTTGCTGTAGCGGTGAATGAAAATGTAGACTGACCTGCTTGAAAGTCTCCTTCACAATGGCCTCGCCGCGGGATTTCCGCAAGCTCTCATACAGGCGGAGGATCTGGGGTAGGTGCGATTTGTTCTTCATGTGGCCGAGTAATTGGCCCAGGACTGCGCCGTCTTCGAGAGACGAGTTGGCGCCTTGTGCGAGGTAAGGGAGCATGGGATGGCAGGCATCACCGCTGGTGTGGGTTAGTTGATCAGTATCAAAAACACGATGGGATCCGTACAGGAAGACCAAGTTTGACTTGTCGTTTACCCAGCTTTCCATTTCAGCGTCTGTAGGATACAATTCAGCTCGTGCTGCAATTGCGATGTTGCAGGATATACTCACGGTGCATCAGCTTCCACTTGTCCACGCTGTCGACGTAGCTCAGGAAGCGATTCAGGCTGTTGTCGTCAGTATTGGCCCGGCGCGAGCAGGGAGAGGCAAGCATACACTGGATCCCAGCCTTCGAAGAGTTTCCGCATTTCTTCCACCGAGCCAGACTGTCTGGAGACTCCGGGGGGCAGATTATCCGGCACAAGCAGCACAATGTTGAACATCCGTCCATTGCGGAGCGAGTAGGCCACCACATGTGCACCGGGACCGATCCAAAAGTGGCACTCTGGGTTCTCAACCCATGCTCTCAGCTCCGGGTCCGAGATTTGATCCGCAGTTAGCACAATTCTGTAGGCCAGATCGCCTGTGGGGAGCGGCACATCCTTCTTCCCTAGGAAACACTCGCGGGAGCGAGACCAGAGACCATCCGCGGCAATGATCAAGTCGCCGGTATACTGATTGCCAGCCAGGGTCTTGACGGTTGTTGTATCAAAGTCTATCGAGTCAACCCTCTCGTTGAGATGGAATGTGACACCGAGCTCCTTCGCACGGATATACAAGGCTTGCTGCAGGTCCACTCTGTGCAGGTCGATGAATGGGGCGTTGTACTTTGCGCGGATATTCTTGTGAAACGAGGGTTCGTTGGCGAGGATCTGACCGGTATAGCGATGGACGGTGAGCGCCGTGGGCTCAGCTGCGGCTTCCCATATGGAGTTGGGAAGTTGCCAGTACTTGAAAAGTCGTGAGGCGTTGGGGGTTATCTGAAGACCTGCGCCAACCTATTTGAATGAGAACGACGTTCTGAGATCCATCGTACGCGACTGACCTCGACGAGTTCCTTTGCTTGCTCGACTACTTCTACTGTATGTCCGGAGAGTGCGCATGAGACTGCCGCGGCCAAACCACCAAGGCCAGCACCGGCAATAATAATGCGGAGATGAGCTTCTTCAGAGACCTATTTTGACTTGAGTTAACTAATCTTCCGTGAGAATTGCCCACAGCCATCTCACCATTTTGTTTGCGTTTGAAAGATCGCGCTGATGTGGTGGAAGAGACAACCTCGAAGACTTGAAGACGTGGACACAAGAGAGAAGCAGCTCCCGTAATACTTTAAAACAATTCCCATCAAGCAGCGCACTAAGCGCATCCATCAGCCCATCAGCTGGTCGCTAAATTGCGGCGTTACTCCGACAGGTACTGTAGTAGATGACCGCAGGCGATACGAGCTGCTCGGAAATACCGAGACTCACCTTATGCCCCGGATTTCCTAGTCCTCGGCAATATCGCAGGGTAAAGGGCCGCTGAAGACTCTAGCTCTGTGTCCATGATTCCAGACCCAGATGTATTGATGCCACAGATTTTCGAAGAAGAGAAAGACAGTCAAGAGCGTTGTGGATGGTGAAGCGAAAACCTGGTACGAAGCAGTGATTAGAGGACAAGAGAACCATCAAACATCTCACACTAGTTACTACGTACTTCTTAGTCATTCACCATGCTTGGAACAAGTCTCGCGTCAGTAGATCCTATAAGTTGATCTATCTTGGGTTCAGTCCCATTTTCTTGCAGATTGAGCCTTCGATGACAGAGCAGCTTGCAGACTAATTTGTTGAACGCGTCTACCTCAACCATGCAGGATTTTCATCTCGTTCCAAACACAAGTCAAGAACAATCGCTAGCAACGACTGTCTCGCGTTCTCTACCCCAGATCTACAACAGTTTCTGGCACATGGACCTGTTATGCTTTAAAAAATTGAGAACACTCATCGAGGGAACGAATCAACAAGCCCAGATGTGGACCCGAGATGGTTCCGACGCACTTTCGCCTCCACGGCATATCCGACTCTTTCACTCGGGCCCTCCAGCAAAGCAACGAATATGACTGGCTTGTCGAGGGATAGCCCTTAGCGAGCTGCAAGGTGGCGCATCTAGCTCCACTGTGCTTTTGCGGATGACCAATACCCCATGGGGAACATATCACTGGATTTATGTGGGAGCGTTATTGAGGCTTGAGGTGGTGAGGAACGGCATAGCCGAGAAGCAGGCTGTTCCCGAGACGATGAGATATATCTTTGTGCCTCCCTTGGAATGCATTCTCAGTCTCTGGTGTCCGGACTGCTGCAAGACTACGCCTTCTCACCCACACAATACACATCCTTGTCGGATTGCTGGACCCCGGCTATCCAGTGCACAACACCATGGCGGAATCGAAGATCGATCCCAGGGTATGAGATCGCTCTGGCTGGCATTTGCCTATCTTGATCGAACTATTATGACTGAATACTACAGGTTTTCCCTCGGCGGGTGAGATATGCGGCCCTGCTCACTGTCAACGTGTTTGTCTTTATGGGCAATATGTACTCCGTACGCAGACGACTTCAGTCCTCCCCGACGTTCAACCACTGACGATATCGTAAAGTCAGGGATAGCGACAGGTTTCGAGAGCTTAGCACAAGATCTTCACCTTCCCTTTGCAAAACTGGCCGACCTGATTAGCTACTCGGTGTTGGCCATGGGCCTGGCAAATATCTTCTGGATGCCTCTGGCGCTGTGCTTTGGCAAACGTCCTATTGTCCTGGTCTCTATGGCGATGTTTGTGACTGGTGTTATCTGGACAAGTGTCGCCAAAGACTATAACAGTCTCATGGGAGCGCGGGTTTTTGCCAGTTTCGGTATGTCTGTCAAGGTCCGGACAATCAGGCATCTACTAATTGTATTAGGATATGGTTCGATCGAGTCTTTGGGACCCAGTATTCTCGCAGGTACGTTTCAAATAATTACATGACCCTCTGGCATCAGGCATCATCTCATGCCCTAATAGACATCTTCTACGAACGCAACTATGCCAGTGCGATGGCTACCTACGCATTCTTTCTCTCTGGCGGATCGCAGATCGGACCCGTGATTGCCGGCTACCTGGTTGCATCGAAAGGCTGGCGCTGGTTCTTCTACCTGTGCTTGATTCTTGCTGCTGTGAACTTTGTGACGACCTTTTTCCTGTTGCCGGAAACCCTATATGAGGCCGAGTGTGGGACCGAGGGGGAACCGCAGGGAGATTTGGAGAAGGACACTCAGCGACATATCGAAGCGGTATCATCGCGATTGAACAGTGATGCATTCAGTTATGCGGCCTACTGGAAGGGACTGTTCAGGGTTGGTATCTCCCAGGAGGCCCGCAGAAAGGGCGTTCTGAAGTTCCTGGGCTATGCCTTTGCTCTGCCGCTGCCGATGATCCTGATTCCCGGCGTGTTGCTCGCTTCAATCATGTACGGTGTCGTTCTGGGAGCGTAAGTCATGCACCGTTCATACCAGAAAGCCCGAAGCAAACGCGTACTGACGGTCCTAGGGTCGTCTCCATCTCAACCCTTGCCCCAACCCTTTTCTCGCCGCCTCCCTACCTCTTCACATCGGCCGATCTCGGTCTCTTCACTCTGAGCAGCTTCATCGGCATCGTCGTCGCCTTCCCCATCGCCGGCCCTCTCACCGATTCCCTCTCGCAATGGCTCCGCCGCCGCAACAACAACGTCCACAAACCCGAGCACCGTCTCCCAGCCCTCCTCTTCCCCTTCCTCGTCTGCCCCGTCGGCCTAATCATCTTCGGCTACACCGTCGCCCACCAGCAGCACTACGTCGGTCCCGCCGCGGGCGCGGCCATGTCCTCCGCGGCCCTCACGCTCGTCCCCTCGGTCATGCTCTCGTACGTGGTGGACTCGTACCCGCACACGAGCGGCGAGGCGCTGGTTCTGGTCAACGCGTCCAAGAACGTGGTTGCCTTTGGGCTGGCCAAGGGGTCGTACTCGTGGATGGCGCGCGAGGGCGTCGACAAGATGTTCTATGAGTTTGCGGGCATCCAGTGGGCGGCGATTGCGTTGGCGCTGCCGCTGTACTACGCCGGTCCCTGGATCCGGGCCAGGACGCAGAAGTTTGTGTAATAGTTTTTGCTACAGAATGCGTATGCTATGGCTGTGATGTTCTCTCGTTTGTGCAGTCAATTGAATTTACTTCATATTCTAATCTGTGTTTCCTTGATGGAGTACTCCCGTAACACTAAATGATACTGCGAGGACTCGGCCACATGTCCATGTAGTGCAGGCTGTGCAGCAGCCTTGAAACTTTCTCATCGCCATGAGGATAAAGTTTGGAATCCCACGTAGATGGCAAACCACCACCGCAAGAGATTAGCTTTGTGGTAGTCGGCTCATGTGGAGGGCTTCGGGTCGGGATAGTGGACATGAGAAGTACCACTATGAATGTTGGCAAATCCCAAAAAAGCTTACCAAACAGAATATCAATGAAGCACTCAACTTGATTCGTCCCTCGGTATATACATACAATCAGCTCTATTGCAACTCATCAATCATGAACATGGCACCGCATCTGCACATGCCACCTTAGATAGACAGGTCACAGAACGCCACGGAGGATACAACAGTCATGGAAACAACCTACAGCGCCGATTTCTCCCACGTAATCTCCTTGCCATTGATGCCCTCCACGGCGGGAATCAACGGCCTTAGCGCCTGCCCGTAGTCGCCCCCATTGGGCGTCCGCAACAGCGTATGGATGTGGAATTTCTTCGGCTCCTCGTTGCTCAGGAACACGCCGGAGTGGTGGTCGAACTCGACGAGGATGACGGGGCTCTGGATGCGGTAGTAGAAGGGGTCCTGGTCGCCGGACCCGCCAATCCAGCAGAAGTATGTCTCGGCTTCGTGCTGGCGCACCTGGGCGAGTTTCAGCTGCCGCGAGCGCGCGGGCAGGTAGAGGAGGTACTGCGCCAGGATGCCGTAGAGGGATTGTTTCTGGGGGTCGGTGAGGGCGGTGGCCGGGATGCCCTCGTAGGGGACGACGCGGTTGTCGCGGTATGCGCCGCAGACGTGGCGCTGGTCGTCCTTGTTCCAGCGGCCCGGGGGCATGGCGGGATCGTGCATCTGGGCAAAGACGCGGGCCTGGGACTGCAGGTCGGGGGAGAGGGACTGCATGAGCTGCAGGCCGAGGGTCTCCTCGACTTGCATGATGCGGGTGCCTGCGTGCGGGCCGGCGTCGATCTCGTTGGGCTCGGCGCCGGTGAACCAGGGGGAGGCGACAATCTGGCCCTTGTACAGGAAGATGTTGAGGCAGAGGTGGTGGCCGTAGAAGGACCAGCCCCAGGGCCGGTCGGTGGAGGGGCGGCCGAAGAGCACGAAGTTGTAGGAGAACTCGTTCATGACGCGGGGGGCCTCGACCAGCTCGCCGAGGAAGTGGTTGATGCGCATTGCCTTGACGGCCTTGTCGTACCCTTCGGGGGAGAGCGTCACCTCGAGGATGTGCATGATGGCTTCGCGGATGGAGGGGGTGACTTCGTCGAGGCGCAGGCCCTTGTGGCTGAGGAGGAATTCCGGGTTGGACCATGTGCGCCATTCGGGCGAGTCGATGTGGTAGCTGAGGGTCTGGCGCTGCTTGTCGTCAAGGATGGCGAGCAGGGACTCTGTTGCGGTGACAATCTCCGCGATGGGGACGCCTTCGTCCTGTAATGTGAAGAGACCGGGGCGGACATTTCCTGATGGGAGTCAGTCAGGTCAACAGGCTCACAGCGTCAATCCGCTCTACCACAAAGTGACCAACATACCATCGGTCGTGACGCCCTTGAAAGGCTCCTGCAGCAGATCCAACCAGTGCATATACAGCGCATGCAGCCACGGCGGGTGGCGCAGCGTCTTGAAATCATGTGCGTACTCATGCGCATCCTGACAGCGCATCACCTGGAAGCGCTTCAGACTGAGATCGGGGAGATACTGGCGATATTCGCCCGTAGGCTTCTGCAAATGCGCCAGCTGTTCGGCGGACGACATGGTAACGGTGACGGCGACAGTGGTGTCCGGACTTGGAAACAAACACAACACCTCTGAAAAAGCACCAGCAGCTCAACGACATTTATTTACGAAACATCTGCTCGCCGTACCTTTTTGCGTCCTTGCGATGGAGCGGATTCCCCGTGGCGTCACTCTCCACCTCCCACTTATCCCCCACAGTCCAATACTCCAATGTGGAGAGCGGCAAACTGCTTTTCCGTCCACTGCCTGTCCCATCGCCTCCAGGCTTTAGACATGGTGGCTCCAGGCTCGCTGGTTCGCCTTTCCCACCTCCACTCCATAGCTGATCGGATTCTCCGACTCACAGTCACGGGCATCCCCCAGTGCCTCTGCCTGCGAAATTCTCCCCGACCACCGACTCCATCTCCGCATTTCCTCCACGCACGCATCTCACGAGGGAAAATACTTTCCATGGCAAATCCACCTGATCGCGCGATAATCGAGATTATCGGCATCTGATGATCGAAGAGCTGTTTCGATGATGGCGATGGTCTGATGTGGTGGTGATTCTGCCGCCGGAATGGGGATCGAGATGCGTCTGCGACTGGTCTGCGTTCTCGGTCCGTGGAGTGTGTGCCTCGTACGATCATGGCATGGGTGTTCGAGTTGATTGTGGAGGGTGATCTGGGATAAGAGGGAGTAGAATGGGGATAGAGGTCAATGACACTTTCGAATTGCTACATGTGGGATCAATGCACGATCTCCCCAACAGTATCAAGAACAATGTGCTATGCTACGGATTCGAGGATCATCATGATTAACATATCTTGCAATGTGAATGGCCGTTTTTGACTGTCAGTCTCCCAAAACAAGGTGCGTTTTCCGCATATGCCAAATATATTAGAATGAGATACAGAAAAGTAGGGCCGTAAATCATAAGACGCCAGTGTGCGCCATGCACCAAATCATAAGCAAGAACTCCATTATACGCCAGCCGTCCAATCTCAGACGATGCAATTAGCTGGCCACAGCCAGTTGAGCCACCAGGTCCGACGCCACGTCGAGGAAAGGATAGGGGCTCGTGATCTCCTTCTCCTTGTTGAAGTAACGTTTGCTGATGGGATGCCATTCGGTATCGCCCTCCGCGCGGATCACGTTCTGGTAGCCGTCACACTTGAAGTCGACCATGTAGTTGTTCTCCTCCAGCTGGTACAGCTGGATGTCCACAAACACCCACACACCATGCGAGATTCGTCCATGCACATGTGGCTGGGTCGCGGATGATGGGCCAGAGTTGGTCGTATTGTCCATGGTAAGAGGATTCTTCTCTTCAGCGGAGCGCGACAATCCGGAGATGTTGAATCGATGGCGAAGGTCTTCCAAGTCACTCTTGCTGCTCTGCACACTAGCTGAGCGACCTGGTGCTTTGACGCCTTGCTTCAACAGACGGGCCCGGATGAACCAGGAGTCCTTCGGGATGTAGTAGTCGGCCGGAAGATCGGGATATTTTCCTTGCAGAGGTCTTTCCCCTGGTCGCGGTTCAACCCCAATGGGTGTGCCTTCTGTGAAACTATGTTTAGTCGACGAACATGGAACCAGATAACTAGAACTAGTACGAACCTGCATCTGAGGGCTGGATCTCCCAGACGCCGCCCTGTGCTGCAATGGCTTTGTACAGATAGAGCATAGCCTCGTAAGGTTGATTCCGAGACCGAATACCAAACTGCCACTTGCGGGTTTTCTTGGGCTGGTGGGGAGCACTACGAGTCTCTGGAGGTTCCAGGCGCAATTTGTTCAGATCGATGATACTACGGGAGTGAGGTTTCAAAGCTCGGGCGGTTGCTTCCTGCTCCTCGGGGGAACGTGCACCGTGAAGATCGTCGTCGAGACTGGCCCGAGCACGTTCTTCTCGTAATCGGTCCGCGTCACGCGCCCGCTGCTCCCGCTCCCGTTCCCGTTGTTCCATTAGTTGATCATGAACATAGGGCAAGCTGGTCGGCAAAATGCGAACGTGGCTGATTCGGGTACTTTCAAAATCATCCGAATCAACCTGTTGTGGTACTTGTGAAGTCTGGCGAGGTGAATCAAAATGAGGGGACCCTTGAGGACGGGGTGCAGTGGGCCGGCCAACTGCAGATGTAGTCAAAGGGGTTCGGTTCGGGGGTGGTGAAGGTGCGACAGGACCACCCATCAGGTTGTCTTCTGTGGGAGCTGCTGCTGTTAGCTCGACAATGCATAGTCAGGAGGGTTGTGTTTTGAGGCAACACTCACAATTGGTCTGCATCATTTCGTTTTCCACGATTATGAAAAAAGCATCCTTGATAGCGCTGGGCTCGGGGCTCTTGAGTGCATCCTCGATATCTTCCCGCGCATATCCCATGCTCCGTTCCAACTTGGAGATAGCGATCTGGTGAATCTTGTGCTGCACAGAGAGGGGTTTCCCCGGGGCGATCTTCTTAGGGTCAATAGCCTTGTTTGGATCCACTCCAGTAGCAATGAATTCTTCCGGAGGTGGTTGAAGATATTTGGGTAGGTCTTGCAGAAACCAAGGGTCCTGGCGGATCTCGGGAATAGTGATTCGGTGGACAGGGTGGACTTGGAGCATCGATCTGATCAGGCGAGCCGCCCCAGACGAGATATAAGGGGGCATGTGGAAGTTGCCCGCGGCAATCTTCTTGAAAAGGGCCGGAATATAGTCGTCGTCGAATGGGAGCCGTCCCACCAACAAAACGTAGAGAATCACGCCGCAACTCCATACGTCGACCTCGGGTCCAGCATAGAGCTTTCCGGAAATGACCTCGGGGGCAGCATAGTTAGGACTGCCGCAGCTGGTCTTGAGGAAATTCCCATCTGTCATGATGTTGCTCAGTCCAAAATCCGCAATCTTGACGTTCTTATCCTTGTCAATAAGCAGGTTCTCCGGCTTCAAATCCCGATGCACGATTTTGTGGCGATGGCAGTATTCGACGGCACAGATGATCTGTTGAAAGAATTTGCGGGCTTCCGCATCGTTGCATCTGCCTCTTTTGACCAAGTAATCGAACAATTCTCGTTCGGCGTACTCGAGGACCATGATGATGTCGGTTTTGGTAGCAATGACGGTGTACCTGCGCAATTGAAAGGGATGAGTTCACCTGTACCAATCATTTCAAAAAAGACCGAGACGAAAGCATACAGTTTGATAATATGAGGATGCCGTAGCAATTGCAGATATTGAATCTCCCGCTCCACACGACCAACCATGTCTCTGGACAGCAATTTGCGACGGGAGATGATCTTCAGAGCGACTTGACGGCCGCTAGGTTGATGAATCGCCAGCTTCACCTTTCCGAACGAGCCTTCACCTAGAATCTTGACCGTCTGGTACTGATCGAGACGCTGCATGTCCCTCATGGTCGCCGGTGACTGCATGGAGGGGTCGGCGCCCTTCCCGGTCGGGCGCGTGGGCGGAGGCATTGCCATGGCAGGATAATTCGAGGCGTTGGGGGGAGGACCGGCCCCAATGGTACGTTCACGCTGGCGATCGGAGTTGAAGGAGGGGAGGGAGACAGAAAGGTCCTCGTCGTCAAAGGCAGCTGCCATTGCTGGTCGGGAGGGACGGACAGGACAACGTGACGTGATGGATTTCTCCGGGCGGTCCCAAAGGTCCGTCCTGCTGACTGTCCAGCTTTTTTTCCCCCCCCCAGCTAATTTTGCTCCCCTTTTGGTCTGGAACCGACTAAAAACTCGTCTCGATTAGGGAGACGCTAATAAAAAGGCGAAAAACCGACGGTAATAATAATAGCAACCGAAAGTGATAGTCCCCCGCGACCCAGGAGTTCAGGGTGAAAGTGGAGCGCAGACAAAACGAGGGGCGGGAGGGTTTTCTTCCTTCGTTCGAACAAGTTCCTCCTGTGTTGGCTGTTTGGAGAAGCAGAGGCCAGAAGAGATGGGTATGGAGATTATGATGTAGAAGAGTTTGTTCTGCCAGTGGCTAGAAGAATACTTGAAGGAGAGAAAGAGACTAAAAATGAGGGGAAAAGGAACAACAGATTATCGTGATGTGGTCCAGCGGGGTCTGATCCCTCATATAAAATCCGGGGAGTGCATGCACGCATCACTTCACCTACTTGGTAAGTACCTCCAGCTTATGCCCTTCGTTTGACAGGAAGCTCAGAGACCTTGGAACTGGATAGACATTGCCATTTATTGGAACACTATTGACTCTCATTCGCTGATTGCTTTGAAGTGACGGCTTTTAGTGCGAAACTTTGGTGATACTCTCCTCATTATTTCTGCTTAGCCTCCATTCTTGTCCTGTCAATAAGCTTGGTTAAATGGCAAATATCTCTGGTCCTCTGAAGCCTAATCCCCAGATACCATACGCTCAATCGATATAACTCTGCCAACCCCGCCGATCGACCCATGGTTTCTTCTATCTTAAACCAAGATTTTTATGCTTGCTGTCATGACTCGCTCCAGCAATGTATGCTCAGTATTCTCTTGAGTGATAGGTGCTTCATTCGCCAGCTGCTGAGCCGAGAAGATTTGTGCGCGTTGGGGTCCATAGCCACGTCTGGCCCTTGAAGGTCCATCTTTGAATCGTTCGTTAAATCAACCTTGAGCAGTCATGGCCGGATGCTCGAAACGTACTGGATGACTCGATCCAAAAGAGCTAAGTGATCAACAGGCATATATAGAGCTCTGGGCTATGTTTTCGGATTGGCTGATATATTGAGAACATCCTAATTTATCAGTCAGCCTGGATAGTACAGAATGTGGGTGGAGGCTGTACAGCACTGGGGAGGTCTCGACTACAACCAGGACGTTTCAGCCTTGCGGCACAGCACCTTGCAGCACCGGCTTCAAGAGACCATACTAAAGCAGGAAAGGCTCTTCACCTCATGAACATGGGGATGTCGCTAGTGCGACTAAGCAAGAGGGCTGTGAGACTTCTCTTGCACTTTTGGCCGTTGGGTCCTTCTGCTTGACGGGGATAAATCTGTTCCACCTGGACGATGCATCATGGCCAAGCTGGCTAGTTAGAAGTAGAGGCGTAACATCATAAAAGGGTGACGGGGATGCTATTGAAGCGAAGACTCTCCAATTCTTTACAAGCCACTCCACTTCATCAATCATGTGTGTACTATTCTTCTTTATCATTGCTTTCACTGTTCTGAGCAATGTCAACGCTGCGACTGTGAGATCACTCTCCAGAGAGACTCCGCCGCTCACTTTCCCCAAGGCAAGACGTCTCTCTGCTGCGATTTCTCCTTCAAGGCTTGAATCCAGAGCAGTGCCTTCGTCCAATCTTCTCAGAAGCGAAGCAAGTTTTGATTTTCTTCATGATGATCAAGATCTCGAATCGGTCTTTGTGGCTACTCTAGAGGTCAAGTCACAGTCACCCATTCTGGCATTAGAGGAATTGGATGACTCTGTCGAAGATGTGACCTGCAAGGAATCACGTATTGATATATCATTCCGATCAATCGAGCAATTCCGCTCAGTCCATCGAGAAATCGAGCCGATCGATGGGCTCATCCTAGTCACCTCACATAGTGGGTGTAATCCAGAGGGAGCAAGGTCAACATATCGGTCAGTACCTCGATTATGTACATAAGGTAGTATCATTAATCGTGCATAGAGTCACCAAGGTCGCAATTGACCTGCACCGCAATGTGCTGTCACTAGGGAAATCCGACTGTAGCTGGCAAGACGCATTTCACACAACTCGAGTTTCATTTTCACGCAGACATCCATCTGAAATCCGGAGAAGTCCAAATCAATTCATCAAGAGACAGCAGCAGTCGCAGCCTGACTCACCAGCAACAACAAAAACAATGGAAGGATCTGCCGAGAGCCCGACGGTCACAATTCCTGCACCTACCGCAACATCGGGGCTCGCCTCAACTTCGACGAAGAAGCTCAATGCGCCTTACGTGGACCAAAAGATATTCCCTCCTGATGTTCCTGCGGCGGACATGCTTCTGTAAGTGCATTCGGCCGTAGTTCATCCAGTTCCAAGGCGAGAGGAAGAAGCTCATTTCGCAGGCCATCAGGAATCACCGTGTCTTGCAAAAATTGTTCCTTGGAAGGCAGCATCGACATAACCAAGGGCTCTTTCGAGATTTCCGGATCTGACGGGTTCATAGACTCCGTCAACAACACCATCGCCTTCTTTGAGCATGGTAGCATTGAGGTGATTGCAAACGGCCTCTTTGCACAGGTCGAACTTGAGTTCGATCTCTCGGCGAGTCAAGATCTGGTCTCCTTTTCGGCCCAGCTCCCTGCTATCCCCCTCGTTCCTTTTGAGGTACATTTGTTCATCACTGAAAACTGCAATAGCCGATCACTGATGTGTAGTAGATTCCCGGAGTCCTTGTGTTTGGCCCAATGATAGTCGCGGAGTTTGACATGAGTTTGAGCCTTGCCGAAGCCATTGGCTTTTCATATGGCTTCAACCTCTCCGTTAGTTTACCTCAGCCATTTCATCCTTTCGTCCTTCTCACTGACTTGTACTCAGGTTCCTGCAAATTCCAAAATGGAGTTGAACATGGACGAGATCTCAAACTCTTCAATTACCGGCTTGTAAGCTAACTTCACAATCACCAAAGTCTTCAGCTAACCTCTGCTCAGTGACAAAACAACTATCCATGCCTTGCCATTCCAAGCGAAAGCCGCTCTTGTTTCCCTTGTAGCCAGTATCGGCTTCAAACCTCAGGTCCTCCTCGGCATCAACACGGCGGTAGGAAGCGTTCAGGGAGGAATCGGCGCCTTTCTCGAACTACCCAACGTTTCTCTCAATGTGACCCAGCTCAGTAACGTCAACGAGCAGTGCGAAGCTGTCTCAAACGGCGATGGCAAGCTTACATCAGCGCTGAACAATGTCCTCGGGAACTTCACAAATATTGTTCCCACAGTTGACATCAATCTGGGCGCACTGGCGAATTTCGAGGTTGATGTCCCACGCGTCTTCACGGAAGCAGCTGCTGTTCAAACCGTGCTGGTTTCGACTTCATATGCCCTGCCGACGGCGTGCTTGGAGTTCGACTCGGAGAGCGGGAAATACAGTTCTCCTACTCCTACTCCTGTATCGTCTGCTATAGGTAAGGTTGCGACGGCTGAGGCCAAGAAGAGCCGGGCAGCTTATGTGAAAATCAACTGCGGGTTGGTGTTAATATCTGTAATTTCGAGTTTATGTGTCTATTGATCTTGGGATGCTCGACATCATGTTATAGCACCCCCGTCAGGTATATATTTCTTGGGGGCAGTCATTGTGAGCCTGCCAATATCACCCTTGAGCAGATCGTAGGGTCAGAGCATTCGAATTAATGAGATAGAGGTCGGACCGCCATTGTTCTACCTAGGCCTGTACTTTAAAGCCAGCCCCAGGCTGAAGCTTTTCCCTATCTCGGTCCATGGTATTTCGCTCATGAGTCACATGGAACTGCGGGAGCATGAGCTGCTTCAATCAGCCAATCAGACGCCATAAAAAGAGGAGAGCGGGGATGGCGTCGGGGTCCCAAACCGGTTTAGGGCGCGCAACAGGCGGGGACCCAAAAGAGGAAAGGCGGAGGGCCTGAGTTGGTGACTGAGGCTGTGAAGCGTGACTGTCAGCTCTTGTTGAACAGCCTTCCTTCATCTTCAGGCATCTCATCTCTTTCTTCTCATCCTCCAGATCCTATCCTCCTCAATCAGAGCATACGCCTGTTCACCTAGGTTGCACGACCTTCTGCCTATTTGGCGAGCCAGAACCTCAAAAGTACATTCCTTGACTCACGCAAGACCGTAAATAGCCGAGATCTTATCTCGAAGACGGACGGCCTCATCTCTAATATCAATCTCTTCATCGTCATTCGGCGTCATCTTTTGCCATTCAGCGTCATTCTTTAGAACAATCGAAGCAATGTCTGCAAACCAATCTCTGTATCAAATGGAGCAACCTGCTCGCGCCGACGAGTGGGTTGACTTTGACAACTCCTTCGAGTTCGCAACGGGGTTTCTGGAGAGCAATCCACCCTCTCTGGACTCGATCTCTCCGAAAGACTTGGAGTTGGTGTACAGTGATGCAGACGCGCTGAATTGGGACTCGGAGGCCGCTCAATGGCCTCAATCAGCCTTCTCCGACCTCGTTACCTTCGAGGACCCTTTAATAGGAAGCACAGAAATGCCATTGGACGTGGCTGGCTTCTCCGAGAATGTTCCTCCACCACCATCGTTTCCGGAAGTGGAGTGCTCTGGCTCGGCATTTGACGACACATGGTCATCATTCGACGCCTCGAATACGGCAGAAAACTTCTACTCACCGTCAACCTACCGACAACTGATCGAATCGCAGGCAGCCGCTGACCCGCGCTGCTTCTCGAAAAAGGAAAAGCGTCTCGAGGCTTCCATTGCTTTGCACCTGCAGCGCTTGCAAGATGCCGCAATGGCTGATCTCAGTCAGCCTCCGGACTCGTGCGGTAGCTTTTCCTCTCCTTGCTGGCCAGACTCTGCTGCAGGAAGCGCATCTGAGCCCCAGTCTCGTGCAAGCCCATCCAGCACATCAGCCTCTGAACCCTCCGCCAAGTCATCTACCCCACCCTCTTCAAGACCGAGCCCGGTCGGGGGTGGAGTAGAGCTGGTGCTTGATTTGAATATGAATGCGACCACCAATCTGCCGAAAAAGCAAAAACCGCGATCCCAGGCTCAGAAGGAAAACTACATCAAAGTCCGGAAACATGGGGCCTGCGAGAAACATCGAAAACAGCATAAGCGGGTAGGTGCCTACATCATCGGCCCAGAATCATATCATGCTAATGGTGTACAGTGCAACTGCCTCGACAAGTCTGCTTCTCGTATTCTGAACGACTCTGCCGTTGCGGCGCTGGCCCAATCCACCAAGGCCCGACTGGGCCAGAACGTCGTGATTGCAACCAAGCGCATCACCACCAGTACCTTGCCGACTCTACCGCCCGCAGTTTTGGACAGGGGCCATGCAGTCAAAGCGGTACCTGCATCTGTTCAACCAAGCACTGCTATTTCGCCAACGGCGAGGGCGGATGTACCACGTGCGGAGCGTACTGTCCACAATTCTGCTGGACGTGTAAACACTGCGATCTCACCAACCGTTTTGGTGAATGTTCAGCACTCAGAGCGTTCCGCTCACAGTTCGGCTGGACGTGCAAACACTGCCGTTTCATGGACGCCCACAGCAAATGCTCAAGTCATGGAGCGTACCGTTCAAAGTTCCGCTGGACGCGCAAACATCATTTCACTGAGATCTACTGTGAATGTCCAACGTCCAGAGCGTTCGGCCCAAAGTTCTGCTGGACGGCAAAACACCGCGCACGCGCATATTCAAGTTTGTCAGTTGCCCAAGGAGGCAAGACCTTGGCGTACAGTCGACCACACTTCCTCGGTGCCTGGTCCACTGGTAATCCAGAACACACAGCCGGCGACTGCTACGTTCCGTGGCCAGCAAGATGGTGCAGTTTGTGCTGTTCATTTCACTCCTGGCCTACTCCGCGAGTCGTCTGGTGTACTCCGGCCATTCAGATACAGGCCGACTTCCCAACAAGGCGTTGGAAGGCTTGTCGAGAGCCAATGCACCCAGGAAAACAAGCACGCAAGGGGCAAAGAAAATTTCTGGTTCAACAGTGGCACTTGGAGTCTACCTGGAAGCCGAGCAGAGGTTGTCCAGAATTCTACTGTTGCCGAATATGCCGGTGCAGTTGTTCGCAACACTGCCCTAGCGTTCTCGGCCTTCTGGCAATCCTCTACCTCGCTCACTTCGTGGGCAGGAGTACTCCTTGGGCGGTTTGTTCTATCCTCTTCTCGTCAGCATATGCTGGCCAGGAAAGGAATGGGACTGGCTTAAGGTTGCCATTGCTTGTTTCATCGATTTGGTCTGTCTTTGAGCGTTTCCGTCCTTTGATGCTTGAGCTTGATGCTTGAATTGTGGAGTTCTTCAGCGACTGTTTGCACTTGATATCCCGATAGTTACATTAAAAGTTGTATCTCGCAATAGATTTTTCTTTCACCTCATGGTCTTGTTGAGGCCTACGCATGTCTTCGCATTAGATGATGCTGAAGAGTACTAGGAATCGTGTCCTCGGCTGCCCCGTCATATCTGATGATTTACATCGTTGGCTGGCCGACATCCTACCTCAACGCGAGCAGCCCTCAAAGGGCCTAGAAATTCAGCTCCGTGGTTCTAGGTCATAATCTCATTATATCTCCTGGTGAGAAGTAGCAACCGTCGGTTTGATGATTCTTCTCATTTTGACTTTTGAGTGCCTTTCTGGGAATAACTGATGGTACTGGCCCCAACTGTGAAGTCGAGATTGAAGGACAGATATCCAACCATGTGGATCCCAAAGTCCAGAACAAACTCATCGTTCTATATCATCGACGCCAAGGGATTTCGGGATATTATATTAAGGCTACCGCTAACCGGGTCATCGTAACTCGTAAGTGAGCTTTAAGGTATTGATGCTTCTACTGATACTATTTTCGACGAATTACTGGCCAACTGAAGGTTTGGCGTCGTGGCCACTGAGATTGAGGATTCTAGATCCCGCTTGAGAGAGTGGACTATGGACTGGACTGTGGAGGCGGAGATTCGCCATGTGTTATGGTGCTATGATGTCAAGCCGATTCTCCTCGCCACGGGAACTATATAAACATCGAACGTGCACGCATATCTCCAGGGCATACATACTTGCTGTAAATATACTGAGCAGATATATACATAGGCAATCTGTACGTTTTACGTTTTACATTGTAAGATAACGAAATGTCCGACTCCTACACCAGCTCCTCCTACTACTACAGCTCCACCACCAACACCACCGACGGCAACACCACCACCGGCCATCGGTACACCACCAGCTCGCACACCGACCCAAACGGGAACACGGTCGTCCGCACCGCCCACCAAGACCTAGGCCAGCCCGCCGTCATCGAGGAGCGCCGCTACGACCGCACAGGCCAGGAGCAGCACCTCCTGCCGTCCGGCTCGTCCACGCTCCCGGGCGGGGTCCGCCGCATCACAGACCTGGAAGACGAGACGGGCGCGACGACCTACGACGCGGGGACGCATTATGGGGTTCCGACGACCGGTTCCCCGGGTGAGCGCGAGGGGAGGCGCGCCGGCGATGAGTCGTGGAGTTCGTCGGTGGGACAATCGTCGTACGATATCGGGACCCCCTTTGCTCGTGCTAGGACTTACAATGCGTACACAGGGGCGTATGAGGAGCAGCGCGTCGACTATGATTCCGACGGGGTGCCGCGGTATCGTGACCGGGGCCGTGGCCAGAGTGGGTATTCGGCTGAGCAGAAGGCCAGTCGGGAGTTTGAGACGGACCAAGGGACGAGATTGAAGAGGGAGACGGATGTGAATATGTCGGATCTGGTATAGTTTTTCATGTCATAGCTGTCTAGAATGAATTGTCGTGCTCGTCGTGGTGCCGCGTGAGTGGTCGTAAATCGTAGGCAGCGTATATCTCCGTTGATCAAGAAACTATACCCTAATTCTTCCCTCGCTCCACCGCTCTCGTGCTCTCTCAAAAGCCCAGGGCAGCTGAAACACCCAGTGGCATAGCATGCCCGCCACAAAGCCGATGGCATCATTCTTGAACCCGACTAGCAAGCCCACGGTAACCATCATGACGGTCCACCGCCTCTTCCGCTCGACATCACTCAGCATGGGCCCGATCTCATGCTCGCCATCGCCAGTCAGACCCTGTCCAAACATGGCGATATCCCTGGCTCCAGTTGTGTTGAGACTCTCGCCGACGCTGACCAGCTCCAGGCCTGCGGCGATGACCATCACACCAAGCAGCGCGGAAGGAAACCGCTTCAGCAGGCCGACCAGGGTTTCGCCGAAGAAGATACCAATCACAAGCTTCAGCACTCCCAGGAAAACGACACTCGAGCCAGAACGGGCACCAAATCGGTACTGCGCCGCTAATCCACCGGAGCCATGGCAGACCGGCATCGCCCCGAACCAGCACCCAACTAGATTCATCCCAGCCACACTCAACCCGACGGCCGTGATGGACGGCGTCTTCACCCGTGGCAAAAGATCACCCGCCAGATGCACGACCGCCACAATCGAGTTGAGTGTGGTCAGCGGGATCTGACCCACTCCCGCATCCAGCGCGCCAACCTTCCACTCCGGCAGCCCTGGGATCACAACGAACGGACGCCAGATCTCCAGCGACGGCAGACTCGCCGCCAGAGCCGACTGAACGAGGGCGAAGGTCAGTCCCAGGGCGAACACAAGTAGCGCATAAGGCACGTTGCGATAGACGTTCGTGAATAGCAGGAAAATAAACGCCGCAACAGCCCACAGACGATTGTCCGCCCACGAAGGGTGGATCCACCCCAGCGGTGCGAGGGTCTTCCCCGCCGAGGCGATGACCAGGGACAATCCCGCGCCGACTTGGATCCCCTTGATGACCGGGATGGGGATCACATCGGCAAACCAGCGAAGTAGACCCGTCACACTGAAGAGCAGGATGCATGCGCCTACGAAGATCCCCGCGGCAGCGATGGTCCCGTTGCTGAAGGATCGGGCGATGGCGACCGCGGCAATCGCCTTCATGGGCTGCACGGGCAGTGGGATCCCGAAAAACAGACCAGTCAGGATGTTGAAGATGCCGGAGAATATCAAGGTGCTGGACAGTGAGACGGTCCCGTTGACGGCCAGGGCTATGGCGATTGGGAGAAAGGTACCCAGATCGCCAAGAGAGCCGGAGATCTCGGAGACAGGGTGATTTCGAAATGTTCGCAGGTTGCGAGAGGATATCTCGCGAAGAGTTTCTATCTTCATGGTCGATTGAATGGAGTCAATTCAGTGTTTGTTTGAAGAAGTTGACAAGAGTCTGAAAGAGGAGGAACCATGGAAAGTGATGCAGGTAAAGAAATCAAGGATGACGCGGCGTCATGTGGGCCCCCACACTCGCTGTACCTACTTGCAGCAAGATAAGCGAAGCGATCCACGATCAGGAGATCAAAAGATCAAGAAATCTTGTCATGATGATGCGGTGGATTTGGCAAACTTGGAAGTCTTTCTTTCAGCGCAAATACATGATGTGTTGTTGTCAATCCAGTGCGGGGTATTCTCCTGATGAGTTGTGGATAACCTCAGGTCCTCATACTCTGTAAATGAAGTCATATAGAAAATCCTGTAGATGCATGCTCAGATTCAAATTGTCATCAAAACTAGGTCTGTACTATGTAGGAACCACAGACTGATAGGATCGTGCGTTGACCGACTTGAGCGACTCGCGTGTCTCTTCTTGAGCTACGCTACGGTGTTACACGGCTCGAACAGTATAAGTTTCGCGTTTCCACTGTCAAGAGTTATCCTGAAATAGCGAGACAGTGCTTCCCTTAATGAGAGTCAAAACTAGAAACACGAAGGAGGTAAGGACTGGACGCCAATCCGAAGACGGGCCAACTAGGTTAACCAGATTGTCGAATGAGCGGCTCTTCAATGAGAAGGAGACAATAAACACTTGCGTCAATATTGCAAGCTCAATAGTCGTCACCACGACTGATGACTTCTTTCCCACCGCTGTGGAGGAGAATCGTATGCTCGAACTGGGCCGTGTAGGAACCCTTCACGTCAACAAGCGGCGCATAAGTTTCGACGATGCCGTTATCGATCAGATTCTTCATCTGCGGTATAAGGTCAATAATCGTATACACAGTGCCGTCTCTGTTGCTTACCCCAAGATGATATTTCTTCACCCCAAGACGCTCGAGATATCGGCGAGAAAAGACGATGCTTCCAAAGTTGGCATCGATGGTTTTGAGGAGAGACTTTGCGGAGGCAAGACGCAGGTTGGCACCAGACATGCCCTCGTTTCTCCCGTAGCCGTAGACTCCAACCTGCTGCGGTATTAGAAAAATGTACTGGAAGAAAAAGAGAGAGTTGTGTCCCTACATCGTCGTCGAGGAATCCTTTGCCAGTACTTCCAAAAGTCTCAATGGCAAACACTTCTCCCTCTTCCATCTTGTCCTTGTTGTTGTTTTTGATGAAAGGAATCTGTTTACCGCCATGGATACGGTACCGGAGAATATCGTGGCCAGTGATGTTCCGGACAGCTTTGACAGGAAAGACTTTTCCGTCAATTTCGACTTCGTGGCTCTCCATCACCTCCTGGATCGCGGCGCCAATGTCACTCATCCTTGCGTCAACACCAGCATGCTACCTGCGCATCAGCGTCACGGCGTTCAGCTCAAAAAACCTGCCAAGAGAACAGACATACCTTGATACCGGTATTCGTTGCCTCCTTCACTGCAGTAAGGAGATTATCGTACTTGTCGTCAAAAGCGACAGTAAATGCCGAATCGACAATGCGGCCATTCACATGCACACCAAAGTCCACCTTGAGTACATCGCCCTTTTCCAGGATGACGTCTTTCTCACGCGGATTCGGGGTCCAATGAGCGGCAATGTGATTCAAGCATAACCCAGTGGGGAATCCCATGCCCGCCTTGAAGAAGTCTCCGGGTTCAAGACCCTGATGGCCAGAAAGCGCGCGAACACCATCCTCGATACCCTCGGCAATCGATTGGAGACTTGCTCCCGGCTTGATCAGCTCTTTCTGCGCATATTGGCGAACCTGGCGATGGATTTCGGCAGCCTGGCGATAATCGCAGAGGAAGTCGTCGTCCCAGAGACGTGAATTGTAACGCGACTCTTCGTCGGTGGTGCGCGACGTACAGTCATACGGGACGAGTTCTCCGACCGGATACTCTGAGGGGAACAGAGTCGAGACCAGCACACGCGGTGGGTTACTTTGCTTGAGCTCAGTTGCTGGAAGGGTTCCCGTTTTGGTCTTCTTCTTCTTCTTGTTGTTGGACTTCTTGCGTTTCTTTTTCTTTTCTGTGAAGGGTAGATAGGCCGTCAGTGGAAATTCACTTGATCGAGATTTGAGGAAGTGGTTGATCGAAGCTTACCAACAGTGGAAGTAGTGGTGTTCACCCCATTTTCTTCGCCATCCTCGTCGTCGTCCTCATCACCGATGACTCCGCGATCCAAATCGGCCGAGCCCGAGCCATTTCTAGAAGTTTGAGGGTCGGGATTGGCTGGCTTGAGCTCATTGGAATTGGAGGCTATATGGTAAGGATAAATTAGAGTTGTTGATGGTTGTTTTCTGGCAAGGTAAAAGTCATACCATGAGGAGCCTGCCAGTGTCCTTCAGGGCTCTTTGATCCCATGCTGTGGTTTCAAATCGCAGTACTGACATGAACCGATTGTGGAGGAATTTGCGAATGCTGCCAGGGAGAAAAGAAAGCAAAAATGAAAGATGAATGTCGCTAATAATAATGGTTGCCTAGAATCTAAGTGGACTAAAAGGTCAGGTTTGCATCGTTTTGCTCTGATGCATTGAGTTTTATGCCAATTACCACCATGCTTTGCATATTTACTCTACTGCCACCAGACTCATCTGACTGACTATGTCTATTCTGTCACTACATAACCCTCGAGATAGGAGATTCCATCTACTCCGTACTGCACGGAATATCAAGGCTTAAATGCATCCTGTGAATTTTAGCTGAGTGAGCTGTGGCTTGTCAGTCCTTGCAGTGGTAAGATAACATCAAATATGATCCAACGAAGGACAAAATCATCGCTCAGGCAAATGGATTTGTCACAATCTCTGACCATCATGCTTGTTCTGATTATACTACTGTCTACTCCGCAGCATTGACTGATGGACACCTAAGGTACCAAGTCTTTACTTCCTCCCTACTCGTCGGCTATTTCTCCCTTGTCCGTCCTCCTCCAAACTACTTCCCTGTCAGACACGAGGAAAAAGAAAAGAGAAAAAGCAAGGACAATAGTTTACCTATCTCAGTGCATCTGAGCCCGATTCATACGGAGACCATCCGGCAAATTATGGGAAATAGAAATAGCCCATGGTCGAGATCCAGGGCCTCTCGTCTCCCCCATTGCTTCTGCGCCTCGATTGACAGTTCGTCCGGACGTCGCCGGATCATCAAGATGGGATTGACCTGTCACTTCCATTGGCCACGCTATGCTACAGCCAGCTGATATATCTGCAGCAGGAAAAAGGAATGTGGGGAACCAGCTTGACTCAGGCAGCCACAGTCTGCATACAACGATCTGACAGGGTTTGCTGTGACTTGCGAGAACCATGATGAACCAATAGCGACAGCCTACCCCAGTTCTTCCAGTTGCCTGCTTTGCTCACGCTATCAATGGGGCGATCTGGCTCATACCAACTTTGACATTCACAGCAGTTTGCATGAAGAGCAACCCGCTGTACTTTGGCGGCAAGGACGTCCAGTCCACTAATCTGTAATAAACAATTGTGGTGACTGCTCAAATTCAGAGGGCGAGGAAGAAACGGCCCGCCGCTGATGAAGCTCTCATAGAGCTGTTTCTTTCCCCCACCTTTACTGCATACTGATGCATCAAGAGGACAAACGAGGGAACGCTTGTGCTCTTTTTCTCCGCGTAGCAGAGATGTCAACTTCCAGACTAGTCAAGTCGCTCACGACGGTGGTCTCCGGGGAGGGCCATCTCGCTCAATCACAGTGCAAAGAAAGCCCTCTTGGATGCAGATGGTAGGGGTAGAGCGCCACTGTCTCGAATCCCCTGTCATTCAGCCAGCCTGTTGCCGGCAACGCCGTGGGAGAAATTAGATCTGGAATGCCTTCCTTCTCTATGATACCCAGAAGCCCAGACTGAATGTCGGGCACTCCGTTCAGAGAATTTCCATCTGAATGCACATGTTGTGGCATGCAGTGTTGTTCTGTACAGTGCTCGCCGCCGTATACAGCGAGGTAGCATACGAAAATCCCCCCCATTCCCATATAATATTTAAGGGACCTATGCCCTTTCAGAATCGTCTCGCCTCTCTCGTTTGCAAAATCTTTTGTCCTTTTATCCAATCGTCTTTTCTATCTGATGCTGGTTTGAGTTGCTTTTTTTGTTGTTTTGCGAGTCGTCGCCGTGACTCAAACAAGACGACAGTTGCTTTCGACTCCCCTACTAGGCCCACAGTCATTCTACCTCCAACTAGTAATTCAAAGCAATCATCATCTGCAGTGTCCAAGACCGCTCCATCTGTCGTCCACACTCAGGCCTCCCAAGAGTCAACAGATAACAACACCTCTTCTCTAGCTCCAGTGATCTCAACCGCCATGGCAGCCACAGTTTCCTCCCCCTTGCCTTCTGGTTTGCTAGCTACTCACAGACGTGTCTCTGGTCTCGTGGATAGCGATGTCCTCTCAAACAATGGCGTCGCCCGTTCTGTCACTTCCCGTAGGGTGTCCTCCAGGAAGTTCAAGACTATCGAGACATCAGAAGTATCCAGCTTGGTGTACTCCCTCAAACGGCGAAGTGGCGACGAGCTCGGCGCTAGCACATCATCCAAGCTGCTGAACCATACACATGACTCAGTTTTGGACTGGATCCGTTCCCAGCGGATGAGTCTGCTCCCCCCTGAAGGAAGTAGCTACGACAAGGTGCTATCATGGGCGCAGCTTTTTGTCGAGAGGCTGCACTCTTTCGACCAGGCGATTGAGGAGTTTGCCGGTGATAGCTATCTAGCTGCGCAGTTGGCTTATGGCTATTGTGCTCTGTTACTCGAGGTACAATCATGTATCCTCCTCAAATGACCTCATGAGGCTGACCTACTCGCAGCTAGGACAGGAAAATGCGTCTGCGCTGATGATTTCCTTCGGCTTTTTCTACAGCACTTCGATGAAGCTCGGAAATCTACTGGAGCGGACGGAGCTGTTCAGCGTCTCCCAAGAAATTCGAGAGCAGCTGGTCCTCGCTCTTGCGGA